GCATTCAGTTTTCTGTAACTTTCCCTATCTCCCTTGCATTTTGCTTCCCTTCTCCTCTCTGCTATTTCTAAGGCCTCGTTGGACAGCCACTTTGCTTTCTTGCATTTCCTTTTCTTTGGGATGGTTTTCGTTGCTGCCTCCTGGACAATGTTACGAGCCTCTATCCAAAGTTCTTCAGGCACTCTGTCCACCAAATCTAGTTCCTTAAATCTGTTCTTCACTTCCACTGTGTATTCATAAGGGATGTGGTTTAGATTATACCTGACTAGCCCAGGGGTTTTTCCTACTCTCTTCAGTTTAAGCTTGAATTTTGCTATGAGAAGCTGATGATCAGAGCCACAATCAGCTCCAAGTCTTGTTTTTGCTGCCCGGCCTCAATTCTGTAATGGACCAAGGTTGAAACTGAACCTGGATAAGACAGAGATCCTTCTTCTGGTGGGCCCTTCTGACAGATTAGGGGATAGTCTCCCTGAGTTGGATGGGTTAACTCTCTTAAGGACTGAATTTGGAACCTGGGCATGTTCCTGGATCTGGCCTGTTCACGAGACTCCCAGATTGCAGCCATTACCAGGTCAGCCTTTAACTGTGTGAGGCTGATCACTCAGCTAGGCCTCTATCTGGATGAGTAGGCCCTCCTTGAAGATGTTGGTACATGGGCTCATGATCTGCAAGACTGTCTACTATAACACTCTCTACATGGGACTTCCTTTGAGACAGACCCAGAAAATACAGTAGGTTCAGAACATGGCCACCAAGCTGGTGTCAAGTGTGACTAAATTTGGCCTCATCTGCCCAGTCTTGGCTCACCTGCACTTATTATCTGTGATGTTCCATGCAAATTCAAAGTTTTGGTTCTTAACCTACAAAGCCCTCTGCGGTTTATGGCCTTATTACTTGTCGGTGCACCTTTCCCTAAGAACATCAACCTATGCCACTCAATCCTCACAGACCATGCTCTTACAGGTTGCCATACTGAGAGAGGCCAGGAAGACATCTACCAGAAATTGAGCCTTTCCAGCTATGGCATCATCCCTTTGGAATGGGTTCTCAGCAGAGCTGTGCCTGGTCCCCTCCCTCTCAACGTTTAAGAGGTTGCTAAGGATAAGGCTTTTTCAGAAGCCTTGAAGGGCATCCTTCTATAAATTTTGCCAGATTTATGCTGCCTCACCCAACCATTGCCTCATTCTGTTTGGCTTTATGTTTGATTTACTGATTATACCTGATTTTTTATGTTACTTGTTGTCATTGCTACATCATCATATTTGTTTCATGGTTTTAATTGTTAATCGCCAGGAGTAGTGCCCAGCACTAATTTAGTATATAAGTTATATAGATAAATAAATAAAGATTACTCATTTTATGGTATGATTTAGATAAAGCAGAATGACACCACCCAACATCTTGAAGAAAGGGCATTAAGCAAATGCTGCTATTTACTGTTATACTTGCATTCTGTCCTTTTCTCCAAAGAACTCAGATAGTGTACATTATTTCCCCTGCCGTGTTTTATTCTCTTGTGAGAATAAAATTAATGAAAGATATAGTGTCTCACCTGAAGTTATTCAGTGAGCTTCATGCCTTGGTAAGGATTTGAACCTGGAACATTCTGGTACTAGTTGTATACCAATAAAAGAAAATGTGGTGGTAATGATTTTAAAGGTTTATTAAAATGTTATTTCTCACTGTCTAGTGAAGAAGAGAAGGAATTGGCACAGACACGACTATACAGAATTTGATGATGGTTCTAAACCAGTTCAAGCTGGAACACGAACATTTGTTAAACAGCTACGTGCTCGTTCATTCCCAAGGTAAGATCAGTTGCACTAGGAATCACATAATTATCCCTTCCTAAGGAGTGAATCCAACCTGGGCCACTGGTTCTTGAGGGTCATGAAATGAGTGGGACTGATACTAGAATGAAAACAGATTACTACTCTGTGGTAAGGGCAGCAGTGAAAAAATAATTTCTTCTCTGCCAGCTTTGCATCTCCACAAATTTGTTCAGCAGAGCTTGATTGAGTGGTCAGAGCCTAGTACATGCTGGCTCACAAGAAGAGAAGAGACCACTCAGTAATCCACAGCAAAGAATTTACGCAATACTTTGCAGGCAAAAAAATTCCTCCTTCAGTCCTGTGGTGTTGGATAAATTACCAGTCGGTCTCAAATGTTCTATTCCTGAGCAAAATATTAGAGTTTGGTGGCTTTTCAGCTCAAACAGTTCCTGGAAGAGATGGACTATTGAGATCCATCACAACATGTCTTCAGGCCTAGTTGTTGAACAGAATCTGCTAGCAGCTATTCTAGCAGCTGGATGAGGGAGTGTGTCCTGGTTGGTTTCACTGGACCTCTCAGTGGCTTTTGATGTCATTGACCATGGTATTCATCTGGGATGTCTCTTTGGGTGGAACTTGGATGCATTATTTGTTCTTCAGTGGCTTTGGTCATTCCTGGAGAGGAAAACTCAGAAGGTGATTCTTATGGGTGGTGTTTGATGCCCTGGCCGTGTCCTTCAGGGTTCTATTTTGCCTCCCAAGCCATTTGACATATATGTGAAGCTGCTGGGAGAGGTCTTCAGTTTTGGGGTTCATGCTATGTGGATAGCATCCAACACTGTCCTTTCCATCAAAATCTGGCGAAGCTGTTCTAGTTCTAAATCTGTTTGGTGTCCGTAATGGACTGGATAAGGGTAAATAAACTAAATCACAATTTAGACAAGCAGAGGTGTTCTTGGTCAATTATAAGACAGATCAAGGAACAGTGATCTAGCTTGAGTTGGATGAGGTTGCACTCTGTCTAAAAACAGGTTTGCATCTTGGGTGTGGTCCTCGTTTTGTCTCTGAGCCTGGCTATCCAGATCTTGGTGGTGCCCATGAGTGCATTAGTATGGTTATAACTAGTGTGCTGGCTATACTTGTTCCTTGAAATGTCTGATCTGGCCATGGTGCCACATGCCTTAGTTACATTCCATTCACATTATATAATATGCTGTAAGTGGGATTGCCTGAAAGTATTTGGAAACTTCAGTGGATCCAGAATACCGAACAGGTGTTGAGCACTTCAAGGCCCCACCTTCTCTGGCGGGCATCCACTTCAAAGCAGTGCTCAAAGGAGGCAGGGCAGGAAAGCCTGGTCACTGTCTTTGAGTGGGTGGGACTTTGAAGTGCTGAAAATCTATTCGACCTCTTCTCCAGAACTGCATTGATTCTTGATTTGGAGCTTTCCCTTTTCCTCTTAGTACGTATTCAAGACATCTGCCCCATATATCATATAAATAATTCTTTTTCATCTCTCCTTTCTTAACCTTTAAGTTGCAAGTAAACTTATCATTTATAGCAATGTTCCATATTTCATTATACCATTCTTCCATTCGAAATTCAGACTTTGATTTCTAATTCCTAGTTATTATTAATCTGGCTGCTGTTAATAAATTGGTAATCAATTATCTAGTCATCTTATCATATTCCACTTTCTCAAATATTGATAACAGAGCTTCTCAGGATTAAATTCTGTATGTTTTTCACATATGTCATTTAGTTCTTTAAAGATTAGTTTCCAAAATCTTTGTACTTTTTTGCATTCCCACCACATTTGAAAGTATGTACCAATTTCCTTCTTACATTTCCAACAGACATTCAGATAACTAGTGTTAATTTTATTCAATTTTGTCTGTGTCAAATACCATCTTAAACCCAGATTGAATTTTTTTTCTCTTATTCTCATCGACATCCGTAAATCATAAAACCCTTATTTTCCTCATCTTCCTCCATTCTTTTTTTTCCTAAGTCTTGTTCCCACACTTTCAATCCTTCTTTCTCAGTCTCCTCTTCTTCTAGATCAAGCAGGAATTAAATTTTACTCACTGCACCCTTTACTGAATCAGTCATCTGAATACAGGTATCTTCATATGATAAATTGGTAATACTTCATATATTCTCTACCTTTATTATACTTCTTTACCCATCTTTCTAACTGCATATAATTCAACCATGATATATTCTTATTTTGAAGGATTGTTTCATTTGATCTTTTGATCTCATTTTATACAACCAGTCTTTAATTTAATCACTTTTTTTCTTTAAATAATTCTGCATAAATTTTCATACTGGCAGGAAAATTCTCTATTTCAGTCACTAATCCTAATGAAGAGTTAAACGGACATAAATTCTTTCTATATTTGTACTAGATGTTTAACATAGTCTTGAAAAATGGGCTATTAATTTCACTTATTTTATATTTCTTAATCATACCTTAAACATAGGTAATTAGCCCAGGCATCTTGGTTGTCTGAACAGGCTAGAGGTACTTGTCCTGCAAAAACCCTGTCAAATCCAGTTGATTTAGACTGTAGTGACAGTTTACACCATTGCATCAGAATGAAGCCAAGCTATTGAGTAGGACCTGATTAAATATATGTGTGGTACTAATGTTGGGGAGTCTGAAATTTTGCAGAGAATACAAGATGTTTCTCTTGTTCTGTTTAACTGGAATTATTAAACTCTTAATTCTGACTGTTTGGGAGCCATTGTGACTAAACACTCTGTTTCTTTTAAATTCTACATGTGGTCGATTTTTTTAATGTCTTTTCTTTTCTAGTGCTGATGAAATCATTTTGAAAATGCATGGCAGTCAGCTGACACAAAGATACCTTGAGAAGCACGGTTTTGATGTTCCCATTATGGTTCCTAAACTGGATGGCTTAGGTCTCAGGCTTCCACCCCCTACTTTTTCTGTTCTGGATGTGGAACGATATGTAGGTATGGACTGTGCTATAGAATATAAAGAACAGGATGAAAAAGGATGCAAGGATTAAACTCACAAACTTGAAAAATCATTGAAGACCACATCATCTATAGTTTGTGGTGGTGGGGATTTAGTGGGGGATCCAGAGAAGTACTAATGGAGATTCAACCTTTTCCATTCTGCTCTTCAAATGTGACGTGAGTGTTGCCCTTTCATCTCTGGCTAGTGTAGCAGAAGTTGTTGTTTTGTTTTTTTTTAAGGACAGCATGTGTTACAACAGAATTCTTTGTACAATACCACTTCATTTTATGCTATAGCCCTGTGTAGGCAAACTTGTCAATGTAAAGAGCCATTTTTCAGATTGGCTAGCAGCTCGAGGACCACACTTCCAAAACAGCATGGTCAAAATGGGAATGGTGTAGTTAAATTAGCCGATTATTTTTACATTTAATTTTTTAATCAGACAAATACCATTTATCTATTTTTCTGAATTAGATAAATAATGGTTTTATTAGTAGTTTTTTAAAATAACTACTACTGTAGTACAATAGTATTTCATAAACTGTACTTATGTTACTTGGTAAATTTTGCTAATCTGGGACCCCCCAATATCTGTATTTTTCAAAGTCTCCCAAAATCTGCATTGTGATACACTGTTGAAAATTGCTTTATATCAGCAATGTGCTGTTCTGATTAAGTGTTGTTTACTGCTTTTCTTACTGTTTAAAATTGCATTTCTGTGCCTTAATTAGCTTCATCATATAATAATGAAGTCTTCAGTCTTTACTCTCTGGAAAATGACTTATTTTTGTGTTCATTGGAGGCTGTTATTTGCTTTTACACATCTCAACATTTAAGGGTTGTTTAGGCATCAGAGAATCGTAGCTCTGTGGTTCTCTAATGCCTAAATAGTCCTTAACCACTGATGCTTGTAAAAGGAAATGACAAATAATTTTTAATGGATATAAAATAAAGTCAAGATCCAGCAAGTAAATATACCAGCTGAAGACTTCCTTAAGCAATTCAGAGAGTTAAAGCACAGGACTTCAATTTAAAATGAGAAAAGCAGTAAATAATGCTTAATTACTAAATAAGATAATATTAAATAATCTGAGCACTACATTAGTAGTGTGAAGCCTAGAAAGGTGCTGAAAGCTCAACTACCTTTTTCTGGCAGGAAATCAGGCTGCTAATTTAGGGATGGTTATAAGAAGCCTGTATATCTGTAAGGTCTAATTGGCTGCATGTGGCCTATGGCCCTTATGTTACTCACCCTTTTATTAAAACTTGAATACCTGTCTTCATTTAGTCTTCTCAGAATGAATGAGACTGTTCCTGGGGTGCAAAGCTAATCTTTCCATCTTCACCATCTTTGGTGTAGCAGTTCTAGGATAACAATAAATTAAAATGGTGACAGAATCTTATTTGTGTTTCCAAAAGGTTGATGTGACTTGCCATTATTAATTACAACTACAGTGGTGCCTCGCATGACAACGTTAATTCATTCTGCGAAAATCGCTGTAAAATGAAAACGTCATGCGATTTTAAAAAGCCCATAGAAACGCATTAAAACCTGATTAATGCGTTCCTAGGGGCTTCAAACTCACCGTCCAGCGAAGATCCTCCATAGCGCGGCCATTTTCGCTGCCCATGCAGCGAGGAATCCATGCCAGAAAACAGTGGGTGGCCATTTTTTTGCCCGGTGGCCATTTTGAAACCGCCGATCAGCTGAAACAGGGGGCCGATCGTCGCAAAGCGAAATTCCCCCATAGGGAACATCGTTTTGCGATCGCTTTTGCGATTGCAAAAACATCGACGTAAAGCGATTTAGTCGTCAAGCAGAGCGCTCGTAATGCGAGGCACCACTGTAATCCACAAGGTGCCAGGGTGTATGTTACTTGGACAGCTGACCAGATGTACAACTGAGATGTACGTGGCATCTGGCCATTGTTTTTACATTTTTATGAGAACAAAATGTGAGTAATTGTTGTTAATTTTAGATAGTTTCCACAGTTCTCAAATAGGAGCAATTACTTCTTAAAAATTATGTGTTTTTTTTAACAGACTGTTCTTTTTTTACAGGTGGTGATAAAGTGATAGATGTCATTGATGTGGCAAGACAAGCAGACAGTAAAATTAAACTCCATAATTATATTAAATATTTCACAAACCCTGAGAGACCAAAAGTATTAAATGTGATCAGCCTTGAATTCTCAGACACAAAGTAAGTACGAATTAATGAGTATGAAAGTGAGTATGAAGGAATTAATCATTTGGGCTGAACAAGGACTTGACTATACAGGCTTCATCTGTAGCAAGGCAGATAATTGTTGGTCATTTGTTCAATTATAGCAAGCTTTTCTTCTAAAACTTTTGAATGTAAACATTTAAAAGTAGTGCTTGCTTTTCCAGGCTACTAACTGACCCACCCAACATTCCCTCTAATTTCCTGAGCACTGACTGTGTGGGGGCTCTGCTCTTTGTGCACAGGGTCGCGGCTGTGACCGGAAGCAAATAAGCAGAAACACTGGTTTGGCTGTACATGCCCAATGCAGTGCTGCATGCCCACTTGGCTTAGAGGGAACGTTGGACCCATCCATTGTAAGAAACATTGCAATAATACTGCTTTTCCAGGTAGAAAGCCACAGGAAAGACTTTGGCCTTCTTGAAGATTTTTACAGATACCGTGAACAAGACACACAATTTATTATTGACTTAATATGGTAATAGAGAGTGGCAAGTTATCACAGATATCAGAAGCACTTTCTTGTCTAATTTCTTCATGATATTCACTTTGGTGATCTCATGCTATTATATAGGCTCTAGCTATCTAGCTAAGATGTGAAATTTCTTTGTGATAAAATAATTACTATTTATCTCTACCTTCAAGCCAAATGGGTGAAATTTTGTTTTCCATCTCAGGAGATACTGTTGTTCTTGGCAACATTTGATTGCTTGTTTGCTAACCTTAGGAATTGATATCTAACCTTTTTGGAAAAACATCAACGCAACTGTTTCTGGAAGTCTGGAACAGTGAAAGAAAAAAAATATCTCCGTTTTGAGAAAAATATTCTTAATATATGAGAACATGGTGTTTCAGAGCTAAATTTCAAAAGTAGAAATTAGATTAAATATGCAATTGTATTGTGTTGTATTGTATTCATTGTATTATGAATGCTAACATTTTAGTTACATAATTTATGGAGACTTGTTGTCATTTAAGGCTTCTCTGCTTAGCTGATTATGTGGATCAAAATAGTGTTAGGAGGGAGAATTTTTGTCTCCCATGCCTTCATTTAGGCTAAGTCACTGCATTCTTAATTAATCATGTGTTTTTTGTATTTTGAAGAATGTCTCAATTAGTGGAAGTTCCAGAAATTGCCAGAAAACTTTCATGGGTAGAAAACTACTGGCCAGATGATTCAGTCTTTCCTAAGCCATTTGTTCAAAAGTACTGCTTAATGGGAGTTCAGGACAGCTACACAGATTTTCATATTGATTTTGGAGGCACTTCTGTCTGGTACCATGTTCTCTGGGTAAGAAAACATTGCTGATTTCCTAAATATTCAGAATCATCACAAAATGTTTCTTTTGCACACTAAAGAGTGATAATGGGTGATAAAGAACTCTTAGCATTGTATTTTTTAAAAAGTTTGTCTGAGCAGTAGTTAGGTATAGTGGTTGGAGAAATTAACAAAATACTGGCTCATGTAAATTCATGATGCTGAATTTTCTGTTTTCCTTTACCTGAAACAGCAGCATTATTTCATGGCTGGTGCATATCCAGTTTAATACCAAGGAACCAAGGAAATATTTCTCCTCCATCCTATCATTATCTTCTCTCCACCTCTAAACATGTTCTTTGCTTCTTGCCTTTCTTGATTGACAGCCCTATGATTCTATTTTTATCGTATTGTAGTATTGTTTGGCATTAATAACTACTATAAAAAGTTAAAAATATACAGCACTTCATGCAATGTCTGATTTATCAACAGGGAGAGAAGATATTTTACTTGATTAAACCTACTGATGAAAATCTGGCGAAGTATGAATCCTGGAGCTCATCTGTTACCCAGAGTGAAGTATATTTTGGAGATAAAGTTGATAAGTGTTACAAATGCATTGTGAAGCAAGGACATACTTTATTTGTTCCAACAGGTAAAATTCTTCCCTCTGATTATTACTTCAGTGGCTAATGTTCAAACAACTGTCAGATCAGTTTCTTTTCAAGAGTGTTAATTTGCTGTGACTAATTGCAGATAATTGACAAAATGCCAGGGTATATCTTGTTTTGCAGTTGGGCCCATGAGCAGCCTTGCAATCAAGATGTGCTTGCATATTGTTAATTAATGAGAATTAGCTATGATAAGTTATGCAAACCTTCAACAAATATCAACAGGATTGTTCCTATAGGCAAATTCAGAAGAGCGACTTTAAAACTGTAATATTGGATTTATGATGAAAAAAACAATGTTAGGGGCATAAAGAAGTATAGGAGGTTAGGAGTGGGGAAAACTAATGAAATCATTCCCAGCATGCATATTGTCTTTTACTTGTTCCAATCCCACAATTAATGCATTTAGAATTTTAGAGATAATCCTAACCTTGTTCTATTAATTAACACACTTCTATATTAATTTGTATAATAAACAGAAAAAACCTTTTATGAAATGTGTATCTGTGGCTGTGATTGTCAACAATATTATAGTAAATCACTAGGTTGTATTTAAATTGATTACATAGGCTTGTTCTTGTCATAAGAATTTTCCCAAGCTTGTCTTACATTAGTTCCTATAATATGTAGGGTCAGATTTCTGAAGGATTTAAAGGTGGAAGTAAGTACAAATCTTAAATACATAAAATGTTTTATTCTCTTGAATGCACCCACCTTCTTCAGAAAAATGCTATGTGTGGTGATGGGTACTTTAGCATCTAGTCTTGGGATTGCAAGCCCATAGTGGAGCTCGGTTCCACAGATAAAATCCAGAGAAACAATAGTCATTCATCAATTTTTCCTTTTTTTCTGCTAGAATTTCTGACTATATTAAGTAACTCAAGCACTTATATGAGTTTGGATGTTCTCTTGCATATACCATCTCATAGATATTAAAGTCTTTATTGCCCAGTAAGATTAATGATACTAATAAGTTTGTAAGACACATATGGGCAGTGATTTTCTATCTTTTATTTTATTGAAATGAAAATAAATGGATTGTTTGGTATCATGCAAAACATGTTGTGGAAATACTCAGTTTTCACTTGGCATTTCAGGCTGGATTCATGCTGTGCTCACTTCTCAGGACTGTATGGCTTTTGGAGGAAACTTTTTGCACAACCTCAATATTGGCATGCAGCTCAGGTTAGTGCTGGAACTTCATTTTGTCTATGTAGCTCTGTATTAGCTTAAAAATATTTCTGCCATTCAGTCATTATAATTTTGAATGGAATTAAATAGTTTTGAGATCTTACAAAGGGAGAAAAGTGATAATTCCACAGGAATAGCCAGATAAACTGACTGCTTGATAGAAATGAAGTGCATATTAACATTTAACAGGATGACAATGGATATTTAAACTCTCAAAGCAACGAGATATTGCAACAAAACAGATTTAAATTTTAAAACACAGTGAGCAAATTATTTTTCAAAAGTAATTTGTTCCTATTATTCATTACAGTGTTTAAAAGTAGTTCATGAGTGTTACTTTAATAGTTTTGAAAAAGGAACACATGTTCATTGCTGTGCTGCTCATTGTTGTAAAACTTGAAAAATTCCTCTCAGAATGTCTCTAAAAGTACCTCTGATTACCTGTAAAGTAACTTCTTAAAGTAACTAAAACATTACTTGTTACACAAATAAGGTATAAATTTGTTCTATTCATTTTTGACATGTGACATAGTAACATTTTTGTTACCCCCAAAGCAACTTTTTACAAGTAACTACTTGTCACTCATAATTTTCGGGCTCTAGTTCTAAACCTAAATCTGCGTGAATGGTATTTTTTTAATGTTGGGTTTATGTGTTACCTGTGTGAAACCTGGCTTCAAATCATTGTCTGTGATGTTTGAGATTGACAAGAATGAAGCCTAGAAGAATTCAGCTGAATGTTGGCGTTCTTAACTATATTTTGCTGTGCAACTTGTTTCTTGATTTGCTGCATAGAATTTGGGTGATCTTGTTTAATAGTGACCAAATATTCATATAAATAATGATCTAAATTGTTTGTTTAGGTGTTATGAAATGGAGAAAAGGCTAAAAACCCCAGATCTTTTCAAATTCCCTTTCTTTGAAGCCATATGTTGGTTTGTGGCCAAAAACTTACTGGAAACTTTGAAAGGTAACTAATTTCATGCGTTAAAAAGAGGTTACACTTTTTACTCTTATTTAAACAATCAGCATAGAATGTCCATCGCATTAAAAAAAGCATGTAGGTCACAGTTTGTAACTAATGACTTCATTCACTTTCAATATGAACCTAATCAAAGAATTTGCAATTTTAAAAATTAACATTCATGTTGTAGAGTTTATAACAAAAGAAAAGGTTGACTAAGATGTTTGCTTTGGAGTGGTTGTATCTTGAAGCAAGAAGTATTATACTTCTTGCTTCAAGATACTAATATATCTAAAATATACTTCTATGGAAGTAAAAAAGAATATTTGTTTTAAGATCAAATTCACAAACAGCCATCTGAAAATTTTTGGCTGTTTCTCCCCTTGCCCAGTATGTACACACCCTCTTCCATCACCTTCCCCACATTTGGAGACAGTTATTTCTTCATGAGTGCTATCTTCATGAGGAAGTAAGTTATAGTTCTTTGTAGCTCACTTAGCCACTGTTTGAAAAATTGTAAGCAACATGGTTTTATGGGGAATATGGTGATGATCATTCTTGCATGTTGGCTTCCACATAGTAATTGTTTGTGTTATTTAAAGATGTTTTAAGCAATAACAAACAAGCAAACAAATAGATAAATCTAAGTAAGTAAGATGGGATATAAATGTAAAGAATAAATAAAATGAAATAATAAATCTGGAAATTTTAAGATAGAGGAATTTGGCAGATACATGTCTGTCATACAAACAGACTTCAAGGCCTCAAGCATTGTGGTTTGTTCCCCCGAGAAAAGAGTGATTGAGTGACATGTACTGGCACGTTGGTCATCCACACCAAGTCAGGGTTCCTGCAGATCTTTAGCTCATCGTGTGAACCAGGTCACAGTGGTTTTGTTTTTTTTTGTTTTTTTTGAGTGGGATCATGCTAAAGAAGATTGTAGGTACAAGAGTGAATGACTCTATAATGCTTACTAACAAATGGAAAAAATGTTTCAGGGCAGATCCTATTGCTAATACCAACTGGAGCAGACCTAGTGATTCAATGGTATTTATGTAACTGTTGACTTAACATTCAGAAATTAATTTGGTAGTTCTCCTCTCAGCTGGGACTTGCAATGGGGTATTAGCCCTAGAATCATATGGTTGAAAGACACCATCTGTTCCAGCAGTGGATAAAGTATGGGCCTTGACACAGTTGTGTTCTTGATAGCTCCCATTTTTAGGTGACTTAAGGCCTCTTGCATCTTCCATTTTTCCACATTTTGGATCCATCTTTACCTGTTATAGATCAGAGACCTTTTTTCAAAAAATCTGAATTAAATTAATAATATTTATATTACAAAATGTAAATAATAATTATAAGGCCACGTTGCTGTACTGCATGCTGCAGCTGTTAATCTGAACTGCTAGATAGCTCAGTGACTTAGGTATCTGGCTGTGGAGCCAGATGTTGGGAGTTCAATTCCGCACTGTGTCTCCTTGACAGGAGCTGGGGTCGGTGATCCATAGGATCTTTTCCATCTCTGTAGTTCTAAGTTGGTGATGATGATGATGAAGCATAAACAATTTTGCAGTTTCAGTAAATTTTTATTTTAAAAATAGGCTCTTGTATTTAAACTTCATTCTCTTGCAGAAAACCATTTTGCTGTATATCAAAACTTGGAATACTTCGGTTATTTTGCATAGGTTTATAAACAGTGAGAGAAATTGCTTGATAAATTCTTGTTGACTTCGATACTCATCTAATCTGTTCTGATTGTTCTAGAGCTTAGAGAAGATGGTTTTCAGCCCCAAGCTTTCTTAGTGAAAGGAGTGAAAGCTTTACATACTGCTTTAAAGTTATGGATGAAGAAAGATGTAAGTTCAAATGTATTATCAGAGATGTATTTAATGGTTTAGTATTTGCTTTATGTTTAAAAAGGGAGCCTTATAAATGTAATACCATTTCCAAAAAGTCTCAATGTTTGCAATTTTGCTTTCTATTTAGAATGCTTTACCTGATTTTTCTGTTTTGCTTACAGCTTGTAACAGAACATGCCTTTGAAATTCCAGACAATATTCGTCCTGGGCAGCTCATTAAAGAACTTTCAAAAGTTATTCGTTCTGTAGAGGTAATAATAAAAGGCTACTAATTATGATAGTTAAATGTTCCACCTGTGCATCAAATTACGCATAATATATGGACTATTTCATCCCGCTTTAGCTGTGTGTGCATGCCTCTTTCCCTGTCTTGAAAACTAACAATTTGGCTCCCTATTATTTTAAATCCTTTGTGTATTTGGTAATCTGTTCATGCATAATAATAAAATGTTGACTGTAATCACACTATCAGAATGTTTTACCCTTCAGAATTCACATAGAGATTTATGGAGAAAGTTAAAGACATTTTGAAATTAATGACAGCTTTCATCAAATGGCAACTACTTTGATGTTACTTGAAGTATAAAATTCTTTATCACTTATGCTTTAGTAGTATATTTGTTTGTATAAGGCCTCATTGTATTAGATATACTACCAAAAAACCTGGAATGCCTCAGTTTATTAGCTCTTATTACTGATAAACAAGTACTCGAACGCAGTGTGTAACTCTCAAAATTGTCAGCTCTAAATAACTTTTTTATTATTATTTAAAGGAAGAAAATAGCAAACCAGTTAAAACTCAGGGAATTACTGTGTGCCAAGTTTCACGGTCATCAAATGAATCAGCTACCACTCATCATTCCAAACGAAAAGCACGGAAGCTGCGAGACCATGCAATCAAAACTCCATCTAATCTGGACATTCTAGAATTACACACAAGGGAAGTTCTCAAAAGACTAGAGATGTCCCCATGGGAAGAGGCAAGTATTGTGCATTAGAGTAGAGTAAGACACAGCCAAAACATTTAAATATTCAAGGCAAATGTCATACGAAGAGTGTTACTAAGTTGTGAAATAAATGCTATAATAGAACTATGATGTCCTGCCAGTGATCACATTTTCAACTAAATGAAAATGTGCTTACACTAGTAGACATAGCTCCTAAACACTTTAGAAAAAATGTAGATTGACTGATACGTAATTTAGAATTTGGGTACTAAGGTTCTAGGTTAGACATCACGATTAAAATGTACTTACCATGTACACCTGTCTCATTAATCTCGTGATGTCCAAATGTCACAGTGTTTTCCCCATCATTATTTCGAACTAGTGTAGTAAGAAAACAATAGAATATTATGTCCAGACTCAAGAATATTTATGCTGAAACATTGCAAAAATTGTAGTGTAAATTGCTGTAGCAATCTTGTGATTTTATTTATTGCTCAAAGAAAATCATATTCAGCTGTACTTAACAGAAACTTAATATGTATCTAACAGATGAAAGGAAAACCCAGTATTGTGTAGGAGGAAAGAGTTGCTGTAATTTGGTGTGTGTGTGTAAGATAAATTGTATATGTGAAACTGATCTCTTCGGACCATAACAGCTATTAATAATGTAGTATCCCTCTCTTTGCTTGCTGTCAGTGTTTTCATTGTGGTTTGGCAGCACACCAACACTAATGTAAAGTGCATAGAGAAATAGCTTATTAAAGTACCATTAAATAAATGTGAAACTTGTCTTTTGCTTCAGGACACAGCAAATTATAAATTGAATGGAAGGTTTAACAAGCCTCTTCAACCATCTTCCACTGTTCCTGAATGGAGAACAAAGGACAATGATTTACGGCTTTTGTTGTCAAATGGAAGAATAATTAGGTAGAAAACATATTGACCTATGATATATGTCTTTTGCTTTAGGTAGTTTTGTAGACGTTGTCCACTTCATATTTAATTGATCAATCTGGGCTGAGAAAGAGACAGTGTGGATACAGCTGTCAGCAAATACAGAAAAATAAATGTTTGAAGGAGGAAAGGAAAATTTCTTGTGTGCTAATAACTTCTAGAAACAGTGCCGCATTTGTAGGGTCACAGGCATTGTGCCCTTTGGACTCTCCTCAATCATTGGACACTTGGTGGTGGTGGGGAACAGCATTATAAGCAGTACTAGGCAACTCCCCATCATACCCTGAATAATACTGACTCAGGGCATTTGAGGAATTAAAATGGTAGCTAGACTCAGCAGTATGATGCTGCTTGAAATGCTGGGCCTGGGAAATAATAAAGTGGAACCCAGATGATGCATAAGTGATAGGTCTACAGCTGTCATTTGTCAACAGCTCCTGTACCAACTTGAATTGTTTTGAATAGTTTGAAAAAGTTATATATTCTTCTTTTAAAATAACAATTAATAACTCTGTTTTGAGAAATGTTGAAGCAGAAATGCAGTGGGACCAAATTCAGGAAGGTGATGAGTGGATTAATGTTTTGTATTGCTTTGCTTTTTGTAAATCTGTTTAACAAAAATTAATAAGAGGTAGTGTTGCTTGTTTGAAGCCAAAATCTTGTTGTGTTGTTATGTAACTTTTGGTGCAAGTTAAGAAATTTCAGGAGGTGCTATCTGTTGAACACTGGTTCATGTGACTTAGCATGTGACAGATAATGCCTATGGACAATGTACCCTCTAATTTTCATCACCGCTGGGCGGAGTTCTGTCTGTCATGTGTGACTGTGCCCCCCTGCTTGCAGGGTTCCACTGTGACAGGAACCAAAAGGGTTGAACATGATTGCTTTGTGGAGGAAGAAGAAAGCTATGTTGAGGGAAGTGGAGTTGTGGGCAGGGCTTAGAGGGAACCTTGCCTATGGAGATTTCTTAACTTGTGGCAGTTCACTTCCAAAAGATACACCTTTCGCATACCTGCCCAACAGGATTTCAGCCAGAGAGTGATCAGAATTGTTGCCATCATTGTTCTAGAATGTATGTTACAAGCAGGTAGAATTGGCTACAAATTTTTTCTGCTTGTAACATCAAGATGTAGAAATAAAACTGAAGAAAAATCGACAAGCAGTTTTTATTTTATAACAGAGATGAGAGGCAGCTGTTCAAAGATGCAAGCCTTTATACTGCAGACAGTGAAGATGAGGATGATAGAAAAAATTCAGAGAAGGAAATAACTGTTAAGACAGAAGAGCAGAACTCATCAGAGGTGGATGGTAATGCAGATACACAGAAACCATTGAACAGTAAGTTTGTTTTCCTCAAACTAGTTAGTTAGAACTATTTTGCCTATGTTTAGGTATATTTTGTTTAACGTGTCATCATGGTAATTTAATTTCCATTGTCAGTACTGAAAAAGATTGAAGGATGGATTTTTAGTTTCCTCCTGAACTTACAATGCTAAAAGAATATTTTACTTGTTTTGTGTATAACCAAATCAGAATGAACAGTTTTTGTAAATGCTGAGGTGTGGCTTTGTCCATACACATAGATCAGTGTCTTTTATTGGAAACTATAGTTTGGAATCTCTGACACTGAGTTAAGATCTGTTGGAAACCTTGGTATGTGTTTATAATTAATTAATTAAAAATTTAAGTCATCTTTCATCTTCCAAGGTATTATACAGTTTAAAAAACAATACAGTGGTGCCTCGCATTACGACGTTAATTTGTTCCAGCGAAATCGCTGTAGAACAAAAACGTCGTAAAGCGAAAATAAAAAAGCCATTGAAACGCATTAAAACCTGGTTAATGCGTTCCAATCGGCTAAGAACTCACTGTCCAGTGAAGATCCTCCATAGGGGCGGCCATTTTCAGGTGCCTGTGCAGCGAAAAATGGCTCCTAAACACAGCGGGAGCCATTTTGAGCACCTGGCGTCCATTTTGAAAACCCGACGATCATCTGTTTTGATTGTCGGGAAGCAAAAATCGGTTCCTGAAATGGAAGCGATCATCGCGCAGCGAAATTCCCCCATTAAAAATGTTGTTTTGCGACCACAAAAACTTTGTCGTAATGCGGATTCATCGTTAAACGGAGTGCCCGTCTTGCGAGGCACCACTGTAATATAAATTTAAATAATCAGACGCAGAAGAGAAGAATCTTTAGAAAACAAACCAAAATGCAGTATTATAAAAACCATCAACACCTGGGAGAAAAATGGAACAGTATTTAATGCATACCTAAAACTAGGCAGAAGGTGAATCGACAAAATATTGCTTGAAATTGGTTGTGCAGCTTACATTACATAACGCTGAGAATGTCATCAGAAATTTTAAACATTTCCAGTTCCCGCTGAAGATGGGGTGACAGCAGTGGTTAGAAATCAAAGATTCACCCATGGCCCCCAGTGGCTTCCCCACAATTAAGGGGATCCCAAAGAACCCTCAAGACATTTGTGGTGGATTGGAAATGTTTTAATTTCTGAAAAACCACTATCGTTACACATTGTAAGTTTAATCAACAGGATTTCAGCTATTAATCCATACATTAGGCAATTCTATGTACGAGGAGGGAGCAAGTTGAATTCCTAAGAATTAGAAGAAATTTGTTGGCTTTTGTTTCTGTATTGCTTAATGGTGGTGCCAAATTTTCGTTGAAGTATATGTACATTACAAGAGTTTAATTGTTTCCAGAGCCGTGTAAAGTTCCAGGATGAAATGGTCAGTTGAAATAAGGGAAAAACTCCATGTGTAATAAAGGCATGGGAAGTTGTTTAAAACCCCTCTTTTTCTCTCTCTTCCTCTCCAGTGTTCTTTGAAAGTGTGAAATCAGAACTCAGGAATGGAAACTCAGAATACTCTGATATTTCTGATTCAGAAGAATCTGAGCCTGATTGCACTAACCAGGTGAACACTAGAATATTAATGTGCTGAGATGACATTTTGAACTTGGGTATTTCAAGGGATATCTAATTGTGCATACAGTGAGGAAGGAGTTAGAAACTGTGTTACTGTATATGTAAAACAGTAGGTTAGACAAAGGATTAGCCATTTTTCTTGTAAGTTGAGCTTTCTAAAAAAATGTATATATGATGATTTTTTTAAAAGGTCTGTGACTGAATTCAAGAAGTGTACCAGGCATACCTTTGCCTGATCTTTTGTCATCTCAGACCCAGCTTCCAAAAGGAAGCTGCCTTAGAGTCTAGCATTAGAGATAGGGGTATTTGTATACGAATATGAATATCTGTCTACAGGTGGAAATAACGAGAGTCTGGCCCCATGGGGCCAGACTGTCCACTCACCATTCCGCCAAGGATGCATGCTCGACGGAGCCTTCCTATTGTACCATTGTCCACAATGGATTAGCTACTCCTGGCAGGAGGCGGGATGACAAGCCTCTCTGCCAGGTCACAGAGTGGCTAATCCATTGCGGACAACGGCGTGATAGGACGGCTCCATCAAGTACGCGTCTGCTGTGGAATGGTGAGTGGACAATTCAGCCCCATGGGGCCAGACCCTCGTTATTTCCACCTGTGGGTGGGTATTCATATACAAATACCCTCATCTCTCTCTAATATCTACTTCCATGATCTGTATTAGGTCATCTATACAGTGTCTCTCTATTGCTTGTTTATTCCAAAAATTTCCTTGGATTTCTAAAACTTGCTCGGAAACGGTGTTGCTTGCTTCTAGTTCCTGTGTTAGGTTACAGATGAAAGCACGAGGCCTTCCCAGAAATAAAATAATGCAGCTTGGTGTTTCTGTGTCACCTTTTCTTTTCATACGGAGTCTATTTCTTTTGGTTATGGGTACTATATGACTTGCAGTTCTGGTTATATGGGCATAGCCAGCATAAAGAACAATGTGCTGCTCCTTTGTTTTGAACATGTTTCTCTTTCCATTTATTTTTCCTTGATTGCTGAATGTGTTGGGTGGTGATTTAAATACACAAGTGAGGCATCTTAAAACAAACCCCCCCCAAAAAAAAAACCTGAGGGAGAAATCATTTTTCAGTCAGATAGTCAAATTCACATAACTAAATGTAAATCAAGCGATGTACAATATATACATGAAGCAATGTGAGTGGGAGAAATATATTTGTCCTGAAATGGATATTTAGAGAAGTAGAATTATAACTGGAAAAAAAATCTCAGTGCTAGGCGTTAATGGTAAGACAGAGGAACAAATATTTTAGCCCCAAATTAACTTTTTGTTGTCGGATCTTTCATATACAAAGTATGATAATAACTGAGATTTTAATTTTAAGTGTACATTGCTGTTCATGAAATGTTAAAGTGTTTTTTCCTCTTCTCTCCCAACAGCAAAAGTATTCCTCTCGTGAGGAATCAGAAAGCTCAGGTGATGAGAAACAGGAAGTTACGTCAAATTTCAAAGAGGTATCTAAAATAACATATGACCTCTCTCATACCACACAAAAGCCATCTAGACATGAAACTACAAACAAAAGGTGAATAAAAGAAGAGGGAGCAGTTTTCAAACCTTGCTATATTTCTTGTGCCTTGCATTCTGAATATATACTGTTTTATGCTAATGAAACTGCATTATGCTCTCCACTGATTTTTTAGGGAATGTCCTACCTCAACAAGTACGGAGGAAGAAGCTATTCAGGGCATGCTTTCTATGGCAGGATTGCACTATACCACTTGTTTACCAGGTCATACACAGAGCATAGACTGCACTAATAGAAGAAGCTCTCTTCAGGATCACAGAAGCTATTCCAAAAGTAGGCACAAAGATAAGCTGTCTTCCCACATTGATAAAGTAGAATATGGTAGGTTATGTTTCGTCTGTACATTTTGCCAAATTGTAATATCCCTCTTAATCAAGATCAGTGGAATGCTTGTAATATATTTATTTTTCGAAAGTGTTGATTCCATTATTTTTAAACTAACTTGATGGGTTCATATCCTGTCTACAGAAGAGAAATTGATTCAACTGATTTGGATATTCACATTGTGTCCAAATGTATGTGTCAAGCAGCATCTAGCTGGAAAGAAATTACTACTTTCCTCTGTTAGAAGTCAAGTTCAAAGGTGCATAATTCAAATGCAGCAGTTTTCCTTCTTGACATTAAGTCGTCATATATTATAAAGCACAATATAATGATTAATTTATAATTGAAAGTGCTGTGCAGAGGTTTCAGAAATAACCAACAGATGCAATGGTTCAGACATTCATCATTTACAAAATGATGATTTTTTTTTCATCTAGTCAATTAAATTCATATTATTCATGTTATTGGGTTAGTTAATATAAGATGACAGTTAAAAATAAAACATAACAATTCTTTATAGTATTAATCATATCTGTATTCATACTGCATTTACTAGTGTCATAATGCTAATGCTACCACAGTAGAGGTCTTTAAAGAAGAAAATACAGCATTTAAGACTTTTATGTAATGCAAAAGTAAATAAATGAAAGTAGAATAATAGAAAAATAGAGACCTCAAGAAGGATTGCATATGATTTGATTTTAAATATATATGTATGATTTAATCATCTATTGATTGTCAATTTGCTGCTTCTAGAATACTTTACAGCCCTTTGTCAGAGGGTGATAAAATGTTGGCATTTTAAGAAAGTTACATGAAATCTCTTAATAAAAGAGCCATAATGTGGGTTACTTATCAGTCTTGAAGTTTAGCTGTATCTTTGGCTCAATAGCTCCCCCCATCATTTAGGGAGATGGCAATATGTTTGCTTTTGCTTTTAGCAAAAGCAGGAAAGCATAGGAAATTGGCAGCTGTGATAACAGATGTTGCCTCAACTACTTGATGCTTTTCCACCCATTTATATCTATGGTTACAAAGAAATCCAGATGGCAAAGCAAACTCTATTGAATCAAAATGCTTACATTTTCTGGATAATAACCCACCCCCCATTGTTCTATTTAATTTGAATTATGTTTTATGTATTGAGGACAATCTTAATGTTTTCTGAAGTCTGCAATGTATCTATGGCTGCTCTTGGTAGTGTTTAATACCAATGCTATGTTTGTGATATTTTGCTTTTAAGTCCTCACAGTTACCAAAGCAGATCAGAGTTAATTTGGGAATCTTTTGTATATTCATTAATGCTAGCCGGTAGATCTGAGTACTTATTTCTATATAGACTAAAGTGTACAAAAGTTATTTAGTCTGTGTGGTTCTATATAAGCTAGTAATTGTTTTCATGAAGACAGTGGTCAATGAGCCTTTCCCTTGTTTGAGTAGAATCAGTGTTCGAAGTCCTGTTGCTTAGCATAGTAAGTCACACTAGAATAAGCCTATTGAATCAGTAGGGATTTGGTGAGTCAGCTGCTCCCTAGGTTCCAGTGATTCAAATGGTCCTACTCTAGTTGTGACTTGCTTTAGCACAAGAAGACATCACTAGAGTAGGCCCATTTGAATCAATGGAACTTAGGGAGGAGTTGACTCACCATATTGATTCAGTGACCCACTCTAGTGAAACTTACTATGCTACTATGCAAAGCAACAAGATTTCAGCCAGTATATTTTTAGCAGCTGCTTGCACTGTGATTCCCAGACTTGCTCAGTAAGCATGGTCAGATGAGTTAATATTCTGGTCAGGATGAATTGAACTTCTGTTCTGTTACTTGTGCAGTAACAGTTGTATAAAATATGCAGGCAGGAATCCAGAAAGAATGAGCAAACAGTGAGTAAAATAATTACTGCAGTATATTGCCTGGAATGGCTTGTCTACGAAATAATTATTTCCTATCTTAAACTAGGTATTTATAAGGTATTTATTATACTGTAAATGTTTCTGAAAAACTCTTTAATTTCCATTCAGGTAAGCACATAAAAGAAGAACAAGATATGGGAGCTTCAACGTTAGCTACACCATTACATGGAGTTCCTAAAGTACATTCTCAGGTATGATAATGTTTTTAATAGAACAATAGGTGCAACACAGAGTAAGCTAAATATTCAGAAATGTTTGGTTTATATTTGATTCATGGAAAACGCCATCCTGCAACCTGAAAGTCATAAATTCGCAGTTGATCTCTTTCAGTGTGTAAGTGACTGTTCACATAAGCGTGCTCAGAGGTTTCCACCTCATATTCTGGATAAAGTTTTGGCACTCAGAACAGTGCTCTTTCCTCAGTACTCTCTCTTAGCTGTTGGTGTCTATACGCTATGTGCTTTATGTTTAGAATGCCTTTGTCATGGCTAAGTTCAATGAACTGTTTCCTAATTAGTTCATCATTGCAGCAAGATACAGTGGTGCCCCTCTTTACGATTATCCCACTTGACGACAAATCTGCTTCACAACGATGTTTTTGCGATTGCAATTGCGATCGCAAAACAATGTTTTAATGGGCTTTTTTCACTTCCTGACAATCGGTTCCCTGCTTCGGGAACCGATTCTTTGCATTACGACAATCAGATTTTCAAAATGGCCGCCGGCTTCTCAAAATGGCTCCCCGCTGTTTTTAGGAGGCATTTTTTGATGCACAGGCACCCGAAAATGGCCGCCCTATGGAGGATCTTCGCTGGACGGTGAGTTATTCAGCGCATTGGAACGCATTGAATGGGTTTTCAATGCATTTCAATGGGATTTTTTATTTCGCTTGACGAGGATTTCACTCTACAGCAATTTCGCTGGAACGGATTATCCCCATCAAGCGAGGCACCACTGTATTTGTGGACTGGTGTGGTAAGAAATCTCAAATATTCTACCTAGCGACAAAAGGAAGAAAGTGATTGTTTGGAAGATATCAGAAAGTAGAACCAATCAAAAGATGCTGGGGTGCTATAAGACAGCGGTCCCCAACCTTTTTGGGACTGCGGACTGGCTGGGGGGAGAGAGCTGCATGCACGGGGGGTGCGGCCCCCTCCATGCAAGTGCTGTGGGCGTGTCATGCTCGCGTGGGAGTGTTACGCCCGTGTGCATGCATGCAAGCGCAACATCCCCACTGCGCCTGTGTGCGTGGGGACGCAGATCCGTATCCGTGGCCCAGTTCCGGCAAGCCAACGGACCAGCACCAAGCCACAGACCAGGGGTTGATGACCCCTAGTATAAGGAGAGAAGGCAAGAGAGAAGGAGGAGTTAGATTGTATCTGAGGTCAGGAGTTTGGGTTTTTCAGGAAACTGTATAATATAATTACTTTCTAATTACATTATAGTTCAGGCTTGAGAAAGTTGTAAGAATCAACACATACAACTTCCAAGTTTCAGAATGTGCTTTGTAACCGTTACACTTTTAAAATAAAGAATGTAATTTTATGTTTCATGATAAAAAACACTTGGCTCTTATGATTTGGGTTTAAGGCAAGCCCAGGGAAAGGAAAGCGCAGGTTAAAGGTGGTTAGCCAGGTTTGGTTGGTCACAGTTGGATCTTACATAAAGTGTGTGTGTGGGGGGGAATCTAGTCTACTAAAGACTAAAGTCTCCTTTGTAACAAAATCAGACTACTTTTCTTCTTCTACAGGATACAAGTAAAATGCAGAAATACATTAAGAAGGAAGGTGCATTTGAAGCCAGTTATAGAATTCAAGAAAACAGGAATCGCCTACAGAACAGTGGTTTGAATTTCACACATGGCAAGTGTATACGGGACTTTAGCTTGACTGAAGAGGAGTGCAGACTCAGTGATGGCAGCCTCAGCCCTGACAGATCTTGTGGTGAAACATCGTTGTCTGTACCTCTTCATCCAACCAAGCGGCCAGCATCAAATCCACCCCCTATCAGCAATCAGGCAACAAAAGGTGGTGTAAACCATCTGTATTTATTACTGTTATTATTATTTTATTGTGTTTTATTTTACATTATTTTATTTTTCTGCTTCATTTCCCCCAGTGTGGGGATCCAGGAGAGCTCACAAATGATTGGGGGAAAACAGATATAGATAAAAATGTAATTAAATTCTAATATTATAAATCACTTTAATAAAATAATAATTTTTTCAGAACACAAATTGAAAAGGACTTAAAAAAAGAAACTCACATGAGCAACCAATAAAGCATGTGACATCCCACAATAAAATTCTTTCTTTAGGTGTCCAATTGAGTTGCCAAGATCCTCCCTAAAAAGAAAGGTCTTTGCTTCTCAGCGGGAGAACAGCAAGTGTGGAATCAACCTAGTGTTGCAAGAAAGCGTATTCCACAACTTGAAAGAGCCCATGTTCATAAACTCCCCAAACATGCCCTGCAAGGGTGGCAGGAGTGAGGGAAGGGTCTCTCCTGAAGATCTTAAAAGTTACCCATAAACAAATGTTTGTGTTAGCCTTCTTTTGAAAAATAGGGTAATGTCTTGTCTCCAGCTTTGATTGAATCATATGTGCTTGTGAATGGCGAACTCTTTATTTCCTTATTTGGAGAGGTGGAGGAACTGCCTTGTATAATTTTTTTATCACACAAAATTACAAACATTAACCTTAAAGATGTAGAGCTGGTATAAAACACTGGGTAAGAATATGCTGAGAAACAGTTCATCTTTCTTCAGTGTTGAACTTGTGAAGTAGACTTTAGCTGGCTTTTCACTTTCTCATAATGTTCATTCCCCATCTGCAGTATGAGTGAGATTATAACTACCTTACAGTCATATAGAACAAACTACTGAGGATTTCAGAACACTTCACGTACACTGGAATACATCATGTAAATGGGAAGTGGTGCTTAGTGTCTTTATTTCCTTAAATTTGAATGTTTATATTGAGCATTTAGTTAGCGAGTACTAATTGCATAGTTGGAAGAGGCATCCACTATGTATTCTAAGCACCAACACCAAAGCTACCTACCTACTGAACAGTCTGTATTGCCTCACATTCTGATTATGCCTACAAAATTCCATGTTGGACCAGTGTAGAGCTGATTTAATGGAAGACCATATCCAGTATGTTATAGTGGATATAGTAATGGACTAGGACTCAAGAAGGCTGGGTTTGAACCCCCACTCCGTTATAGAAACTCACTGGGTGTGTGGAACTGGTAACATGACTCCTTAAATATCTTACCATGAAAGCCGTATTAGGGTGTCTGTGATTTGGTTCCGACTTGATGGCACATAACAACAGATGGTTTAATTTTATAATGTTATAAAAATTAAGAAATTAAATGTGTCTATTGTAGCAGTTGTCAAAAGGACCCGTTTCTTTTTATTTTAGGCAAACGTCCAAAGAAAGGAATGGCAACTGCTAAACAGCGTCTTGGGAAGATTCTGAAGCTGAACCGAAATGGCCATGCACGCTTCTTTGTTTGATGCAGTGGTTACTTCCACTGCTGCTGACCTTTCATACATAGACCAGTATTGAGGGTAACTGTGCCTGAATCTTCTGTTTTATTCGTCTGCTTGAAGCAGAATGCATGTACCTTATTAGAAAACTGCCTGATGAACAAAAACCCAATGCTGCATTTTTATTGTGCCACATCTGCTCAGCAATAACGATTTGGGAAACAGGGGAGCATTGAGAAAGAATACAGAGATGGTCTTTTTTCAGGGCTCAATCATTTTGTTGTTTCTGCTTGTGTCTGAGTTATTTCATGGACAGAGAAATATGATGAAGGTGGTTATCAATAATTTATTTGACATATTTTGACAATTATTGAATTCATTTTTGAACTATTTATTTGGAAAACATTTTTGTGGGAATTATGATTTTAACTTTAGTTGTTACAAATGTGAAGGTCTTTATTTGTCTTTAATGTCTGTATGTCTTTTTGCAGTGGAGAGCTAAATGAATGATCTATTTTGGATTCAAACATTTGATATACAGGTTATAGTCTTAAACATGGATATGATGCATTAAGTTAACGCACAGAAAATCACATGTTAATGTCTGTTCTTTTATATATGCTTCTGGATGGTTTTCCCACTGAATTGTAATTTAGTGAACTTTTCAGTCCCCTTGCATTCCTGCCCCTGCCTTCTCTTCTGCTCATGTTTCATCTCTTATTTGGACTTTAAATTGGCGTAACATTTGAGCAGCTCTTGCCCACACACACACACACACACACACACGCACACTCTCCCTCTCTCTCTCTCTCTCTCACACACACACACACACACACACATTCTCCCCCCCCCACTTGTTTCCATGTCATGATAAATGATTCATGCAAAGCATGGATAGCAGTACGCCAAGAGTAGCACTACAGCTATTGGTTTAAGTGTAGACACTTAAAAGAATTAGTGGAAGAAGGCTGTTTATGGTGGCAAAATCTTGCTTGATCATCTACACATGCCAGCCAATTAAAGGTCTTAAGTCATTTTTGTATATATGTAAATATGTTGGATAGCTTGCTAAATCTTGAATGACTATTTTGTGTCATGCTTTGCAAAATCTGGTAGGAAACGCCAATTCTGAAATGCATGTAAATAATTTAGATGATGTATTTTTGTAATATAAAATGGATTATTTAAGCTCTTTTTGGAGGAAAAGGAGGAGGCACCTATACTACTACTTTGGTAAGAGGGCTATTCATGACTAAAGCAGAAATATTAGGGATTCTGCTTTGGGTTTTTTCCCTATTGTTCACAAATTAAAGTATGGCCAAAGCTACTCAGTTGCTTGACTTTTCAACTTTGAAAAAAAACTTCCCAGTCTTCAGGTTATATTTAAAATAAAATAGAAGTCCCCAAACAGGACTTTGCTTGTATTTAAACAGTTTTATATGTTCAATATTTGCTGCATCTATGTTTGTGTATCTATCATAATATCCTTTGTCACATATCAAAATAGGCAGGCCTCTTTGGCTTCAGCTGTTATTAAGTCAGCCACATTTCTCCGTGGAAACATTTCATGTCTGCAGTAGTTAACAGAATTGCCACTTAAGCCCTGAATAGAACTTAATAATGCAGAACTGCATAAAGAATGGGAAAGTAAACTTAATTTGGAAGCAGGCCCTGTGGACATAAAAACAATGGGGCAAACGTTTAAATAAATATGTTTAGGATTGGAATGTGAATGGGTAAAATTAGATAATGAACTTGTGATGTGCTTTAGCTTTTGAAATTTATCGTACATTTTTACTCTCCTTTTTTCTCATCCTATGTATATCAAAATTACCTAGGCAAAATGAATCTGGCTTGTCTGTATCTTCTCAACATTACAAATGGACCTGATGACAGAGCCCGGAACTCAAAACTAGATTTGAAAACCACTGTGATCATCAGTTAATATGAAGTGACACTCATTTCACTGTTGATCAAAGAGAGTTATTATTTCAACAGTCCATATATCTTTTTAACTGAGCAGTATTACTATGTAGAATTTGGATTGTATTCTCAGTACCTTTTACAATGGGATTAACAGTACTTTTGGTGTAGGAAAACACTTTGAAGCATTGATTCAGTTCTAAATTTAGTGAGCTGTAAAAGGAAATTATTTTGCTTCATTTTCTAAAAAAAAATCAGATAAAAGTAAAAATTCCTAAAATTTGATTGAGAACAAAGTTCAGTGAATGTTAAATAGATTAAAACAATGAAATTTCTGTTGCTAGTCCAGAATAGATAACAATTCTAATAACTGGTCTAGTTTCTCTAGTGATTTTCATTAGTAAAATACTAAGCTATGAGCTTATGTGGGCACCAAGTGATGGGGGGACTTTTTCTATAACTATATTTTTATGGATATTTCTGTTTTTCTGCTACTTTCCCCATGGAAACATAGTCTACTAAAAGAGATACTCTAATTTCTATAAATGTTGGGCTTGTTCTCTTATCAGCACTTCCCTAATTATGCTTTGGATTAGGCAAGAAGAAAAAGTACACTGACTATATCAGAATAATTTCCTCTGAAAATGACAATAATTGTTTCAGTAGTTTAATTAAGAGACTATGATGGGCACTCTTGTTTGTATGTAACTTCCTTGGTAGAAAATCTTTTTTGCACCCAACTTCAATTGTGTAGTAGATTGTCTGAATAGATTCTGTAGCCCTGCCTTTGTATTTCACTTATTTGAGTGAAAGAAAGCAGTGCTTAAGCCACGTCTGGCAGGAGATTACCATATCCACAGTGGAACCTTACTTTCATAGACAAGACCTTTTAACACAAATGGAACAAGAATTTGAGCTGTGGAATGGAATTCTATGGGCCTGTTCTTTTTTGAAAGGATAGGGTGCAAGGAAGTGTTAAAATGAAATGTTTGAGTTTTGCTAAAGAGAAAAGGTGAAAAATAGGGCATCAATATAATAGTTTTTGCAGGAATATTTTAGCAGCATTTCTTCTTGTATTTCTACAATACCTAACAATAAACCAAGGCTACAGAGTAGCTTTAAATGACCTCTGGTAGATTTACCTATGCAATCAGTAACATAAACGTGACCATTCTTCAACCATTTCGAAAACATGGAGGGAGAGCTGCTTTTTTGGCCATTTTTTCATAGCTAAACTTCCTTACAGTAATGTTCTTCTGAATAAGAACACAGTATCATGATCTCTTTCAATAAACTTTATTTCACCTAAGCTTTTAACACACCACAGACTGCCTTCATGCACCAGGATGCGTGGCCATTAAACTTGGACGTCTTTGTCAGACTCAAAATAACACTGGCCTGTGTCTGACTCTGCTGTTTCACTAATTTTGGAGAAAAGTGAGGAGACACGATGTTGTAAAGCAGGGGTCGTCAACCCGCGGCCTGGTGCCGGTCCATGAGCTTGCCGGAACTGGGCCACGGATATTGATCTCCACCCCCACCCCCCGCACACACGTGGGTGTGTGTATCATGCTCACGCATGTCACGCCTGCAGTGGGTGTGTCATGCTCATGCAGGGGGTGTCGCATCCGCGGTGGGCGTCATACTCGGGGCTGTGTCGCACTCGCATTGGGCGTGTTGCACTTACAGGGGGTGCGACAAGCCCACTGCGCAAGTGTGTGGGGTGCCCTTGCCCCTGGAGCTCGCTCCCCCCAGCTGGTCCACTGCCCCAAAAAGGTTGGGGACCGCTGTTGTACAGGACCAGAGAATCCCTTGCATTGTGTCTCTCTTGGTCCATAATTTCTGTCACTTCCACCCCCGCCCCCACTAACTAAATAGATCTCAAGGCACCTTTTTGTAATAACGTACATCAATACTTCCAGACCATTAAATGCTGTTATGTTCCTGGATCAAAGTAAATCAGGGCACCTTTTTGTAGAAGAAATATAAACTGCATTTTTAGGGCCTTACTGTTTGTAGATTAAACTGGAATGAAAGCTGCAACATCTGTTTTTCTAAAAAGGCAAAGATCTGTGTACAGAATGACTGACTTGTGCAGCAATGGGTGGGAATGATACTAGCACTGATTAAGGAATGCTGCTGCTGCTGTTAAAGCAGCATTTCTGCCTGGAAGAGAAGTTTAAATATTAAAATTAAGCCATAATAGTTTCTTGCTGTGGGAAGGGAATGAAAAAAAATCACTTTAAGAGATTATATTAATATGAATTATCACCTGCTGGGAAAAGTTTAACTTTGCCAGTCCTTTGCCGTTTTAAAAATATTCGTTACATTTGGAAAGAAGGGGATGGGTCTTGGCTATATTTACTAGTTTTGTAGTGGTGGTTTGCTGATGTGTCTTTCCTCCACACACACATACACATACACACACCTTTTTCTACTGTCTGTTTAATTTCTACCTTTTTTGAATGTTTGTGAAATAGCAGTCTTTCTGAATAGGGTTTTATGTGTCCTCCTTTTTACAGAAACACGCTACTGTGTGGAGTGTTTGGGCTGGGAAATGGGATGCTGCAGCTTTAAGAGCATTTTTTTGTAATTTGTAACAGTATTTCCCATCCTATTTTTGCCTGCAGGCAGGGAAAGTGTATGTACAGTATTTATTTTGTTTCAGTTTTAATTTGAAATTTGTAAGTTTCTATAAGTAGCTTACTGATTTACTGTTTCTGAAGACAAGTGGCTTGTTTAAATTTGTATTTGACCATAGTTTCCACTTTCTGTACTTTAAAATACTGAAATTAAAATCTGTATTACTTATGTTTTTTTGATTTTAGCACTCAAGTGTTTAATTTCTTCATATTTGTTCACTCAGTGTAAAGCCTGAATGCACTACATAATGTCTTATGGAAATATTTGATCTATTTTTTTACTTCTGATTTCTGTGACTTTTGATTTGGTTATTTCATTGCACCTTATTATTAACAAAACTTGAGTTCAGAATTACATTGCTGCTGGCACTTATTCCAACAACCTCGAACATTTTTTTGCTGCTTTGGCAGCGCATAAGATGCAAACAATCTTGGCTAAATGTATAAGGGAAAGGATATGGAGATGAAATAGCCAAAGATCAGTCTACTTTAATATTTGAATGGCAGTATTGTTTGTAGGGAATAGGAGGCAAAGGGGAAAACATTTTAGCCGCAAAATTTTATAGCTTTTGGAGGTGCAAGCCCAGGCCAAACAGCAAAAAAACTGGGGTTTGGTTCTTTGCTGAATCAGTGTACATAGCCATTGGAGCTATAATAATACTATTCAGATCACAGATCATCCAAGTTCTAGCATATTTGTGCCCTTGCCTGGGTCATAAATTGTGCAAATCTGACCTAGAATAATGCTTTGTGTTAGCCCATGCCAGCAAACAACATTCTGAAATGTAAGCCTGTTATTGACCCCTTTCCATATGGCAGAGGTGGGCAATTTATGGTCCTCCCTATGTTCTTATTAGCACTAGCCAGCATAGGCCATGGTTAGGGGAACAGGAGTTACAGTTCGTACTGGAAGGCCACAGTTTTTCATTCCTGCTTTAGAATATAGATACTTACATATGACTACATCTTTTCTTCTCATGAAAATGTGAAATAGGCCTCTGAGTGCATTAGTTGACTTAAAGGCTATGCAGTACTTGTTTGCAGCAGAATTCAGATACATGGGAAGAAATAGTTTGATATAGGCATGTGGTGTTTAAGTCTCTGAATAAAACAGGAAATTGATACTTCCTGTTGATGACAAAACTTCTAATGACTTATCAGTTTCAAAAATCCTGAAGGTACAAACTGAATTGTACTGAAAAGAGTTGTTTTAAAAGTTTTTGAGATAGGAAAGACTAAAGTGACAAGTGATTTAAATTATCAAGTGTTTTCCCTGCTGTTGCTGCACCTGTCGGTTTGAAACACAATGCCAGTATACTTTTGAGAAATCCAATAGTATAATTGGAGTATTAAAAGGATTAGAATTACAGCAAACATCTGGCGGAAACCCAAGTTTCTTGCTTTGCCAGAAATGTTTTGGTTTAGAAGACTGACATTCATAGGAACGGGCCTTTGCTACCATTCTTTTCTTTCTAGTCCCGTTCCACAACCAAGACAAACTGTGAGGGTTGCATGCAGGGGAATTTATGATTTGTGAAGAGGTGGCAACTCAGAATTCTCACATTTCACCTCACAGGCTGCTGTGTTGTCCTCTTCTCCAATAAGAGGTGCTTTATGTGTTTAGGGGAAAATAAACCACCCTTTTAAACAATAATGAATTACACAAGCCTACCACTGAGAAAACAAACATAGTAATAGCCATATTGGCAAAAATTCCAAACTCCTACATTGGTACCTTTATAGAAAGGCATTGCAAGCTGTTTTTCATTGTGAGAAGGAATGCCAATAAGTGGTTATATTTGAAAGCATATTATGGCCATATACTGAACAAAGCAGTAAAAATCTTTGTGGATTTGCAACATGATTACTAGTATTCAATAGTTTCACATATTTTGCTTCTAGAAATGTTAATTCTTAGGTAGCTGTCCAGAAATGTGACAAAAATTCTCCTTTTTGGTCCTAGCTTCTGTACCAAAGGCTTTTTACTGATTTATAGTTGAAACATACCCCCTTCTCATTGATGTGTCTAGAAAGTAAAGCCTATTGTTCCCAAATATCTTTCCATTCTGAATATGGAATGCTGTTGCCCAGTCTCTGATAACCATGACTTTGAAGTTACCATAACTTTAAAGAATGAGCTAGGCTCTCCAAAGAGACTCTTAACAGAGATGCTTCCACACAACCAGTCCTTGCACTTTTAAATGAAATTATATTTGTGCAACTATTTCATCTCTCCCCCTCCATAACAGGGTTTGTTGTGGGTGTGGGGGTAGTGGAGAAAGAAAGAAAAAAGGCAGTAGAAGCATTTGGAAAACGTGGGAAGACTACAACTGGCTTCTGTTAAAATTGCATGAATGAGGCATTGCAATTCCATGATAAATGCTTAACCTAGAAACACACTGAACCAAAGACATTTCTGAATATTTTTATTGGCTTCTTGATCTTGCTATCATTCAGATCTTTTACCAAACTCTTTGTTTTATTTATCCTCTTTGCTTATAAATACTTTATCAATAAATTTCCAAATGTATACATTTTGGGACATACTGTCTTTCAAAGCTATTGATTTCTTATTCTTTTTTTTAAAAGAACAAGTCAAGCCAGGATGGCAGTATGATGCTTCCCTCCATCTTTTAGCTTCGCATCAGACAGTTGCCACTGCAGGAATTGTGCATTGCGTAAGAATGACCTTGTCCAGTGGTCTATTTTTAGGTGACATTCACTTTGCTTTTTCTGTAGCACAGTGACGTCTCCACTTCCAGTCCTGGTCTTAACTTTCCTTCAGCAAAAAAGGAGACTTCTCACCTGGGCAGCAGCTTCTAATACACTGTGTAGACTATGTTAACCACTCATCTGGCCCATTATGTTGTTTTCTAGTAGCCTATATGCACAGCTAGCATTGCCATTAGCAGGATGTGCTTGTTGAAGTTGTGCAAGAGGGACCACCCTTTGCATTTTCTCCTTAAAAACAGAAATAACATGACTTTTCCATGTGCTTGCTTAAAACTGTACTGATGTGTTCCTCACTGTTGGAGTGTGAAGAGCTGCTTGAGCAAATGATGGGAAGGGTTCTTGAAATTTGTGCATTATTTTCCTTGCTCAGCTGCACAGTTACTTCAGTACGTCTGGACGTCTTGGTGAGCTACTTTCATTAGGATCTGCAGTTTCACTGCCATGGAATCTAAACACAGCAAGGAAACAAGAAGTATTTGATTTGAAAACCATATCACTTGATTCTTTCCTTAAGTGAAAACAGAAATACTGGGCACATTGAGTATATCAGCTTCACATGTAAACCATGGTATTATTTGTGATGCTTGCACCTATTTTCTTCACTCTCTCTATGGAATTAAAGATGCTTTTATGACTCATGATTTTTCAGCAACAAGATGACAATGTGCTACAAAGATAGGTACTACTTCTAAAATTGCTCCAGATGAGTGTCTGCCCCAAGACTTCCTATAAAGTGTTCCTTTCTACGCAGCCAGAAAAGGCTAAAGAAAATGTTTGTATGTACAGTGGTGCCTCTACTTATGAAATTAATCGTATTGGAATGGTGTTCATAAGTCGAAGCACCATTTCCCATAGGAATGCATTGAAAACCGAGTAATCTGTTCCAGCTGAAAAAAAAAATCACCCCAAAATTAAAAAGAACACAGGCAAGCCCGGTTGGAAGGCGCTCCATTGCTGAGGTTTAAGAAGAAGAAAAAAACTCCATAAACAAAAAGTAAAGCCACCTCCGTTGCTGTGGTGAAACAAACACTAAAGCCACCAACAACGCAGCACAGAAAAATCCCCTCCCCAGCCAAGGGAAAAGTAAAGCCACCTCCGTTGCTGAGGTAAAAAAAACCTCCAGAAACAAACACTAAGGCCGCCAACAACGCAGCACAGAAACATACCTTCCCCAGCCAAGGAGAATAGCTTGGAAGTGGAAGCTCTGTTCGCAAGTTGAAGCAAAATGTTGCAACTGGAGCTGTTCGTACATCAAAATGTTTGTAAGTAGGGACGTTTGTAAGTTGAGGCACCACTGTATTCTTGTAACAATGGCACTCTCTGAGTATCATTTGTACACTTGACACTCTCCCCCCCCCCAAAATGCATGGGTTAGACCAAATTTCAGCACAGAACAAAGGGAGAGCAACAGGTCTCCTTTCTTCCTGCCTCAAAACCTTTTACAAAAGTTATTAGGCACATTGGACTTTCCATTTCCTGCATGCCTAGCAACCTCTGAAAGGGGGCGGGGGACAGGGAGAGACCTTTTTAAACCTTTCCTAATGCCTAATAAAAGGAGAGTAAGTGAGCAACCCAGGAAGGAAGAGAGTGGAGTATATAAGCAGCCAGTGGGATAGGGAATGCCAGGGGTCACCACACAGGGTCCCCTCAAATATGGAGCATCTCTGGTCATACTTACTGAACTTGGATGTGCAGCAGCTTGGTATTCTAGATTTTTGAACCACAAGATAGTAGACAGGCAAGCCAGACAGAGTTACAGCACAGCCTATACTGGTGTTCACAGGATCTGAGTACAGAGATGTTCCCACAATGAAGAAACAGGCAATTGTAAATACCAGAGGGATAAATATGGGCACCTAAGGGAAAGGATGAAATGGAAACCAAAATATCTGCATTATACATACAAGCAAAAAACGTTGATTTGAACACAAATAATGGTCTGATGTACCTATTTCTGGAGATGGGTCTAACTGGCCTCTGCACAAAGCAGTAATTAATATCAATAATGTTACTGTATAGTGTTTCCATCCTCTGTTGCAAAAGAACACAATCTAGTTTCAGGTATCTTTAAGGCACCTTCTTAAATCCTATCACAATTCTATGGCTATCTCTAATTGTTTCCATGTCTGGATCTTTATGATTCACTTCTTCAGTTTACATCTTGTCCAGTATGATGATCTGCTTGAACACTATATTTGATATTTTCTCCTTGTGCCAATTCAATGGCTACAGACACAACTATCCATTAATGTTTTCTTTGAGATGGCTAAACATAATTTTGGACCACATAAGCTGTGATTAAGAATGTACTGCAAATCAATGTCAAAACATGGCTTGCATTAAGTATTTTGTTTGCACTGAGCAACTTTCGTTTCCCAGATTGCTGGCCTCTTCTAAGGTCAGGGCTAGAGATGGGACTTTCATGTTTTTTTAAAAAAACACGAAAGAAGCTTATTTTCATTTCATTTTTTTTCATTATTTACTATAGGAAACTCTTAAACATGAATGTATCAGCGAAAAAGAAATATGCAGATAGTTCATTTTTTAATGTATTTCCTTCTTTGATTAATTTTTCTGGCACCCTTTATCAAATAGCCCAAGAAATTTTTCATTCGGGCTGCTAGAAACCACCAATCAGAATATCACAGTGAGCATTATTTTGGTTTGGTATCTTCCTGCTTGCCATGTCTCCATCTTGTATCTTTTCCTATTTTTAAACTTGATTTTTTGGAGGGGGGGATTCCCCTGCCCACATTTTGGATATTTTCTTCCTGCTGCTACCAGGCAGGTTGGCTGTGCCAGTGTGCCTCCTTAGGACTTGAAGAAGAAGAGAAGAAGGCATCAAATGGTAGGGGAGAGAGAAGTCTCCCCATATTCTAGTTTGGTTACAAGTTGGGAGGGTTTGATTGTATCCTTTGCCTTTATTTATTTGCTTTTTTCTTGGTTTGGGGGTGAAAGAGATGTGTTTTGATGGTTGTTGTGGGTTTTCTGTGCTGTTTGGCCGTGTTCTTCCTAATGTTTCACCAGTCTCTGTGGCCAGCATATTCAGAGGACAGTAGTCAGAACTCTGTGCTCTGGATGTGTTTTCTTTTTCTTTTTGTCTTTTGTTATTTTTCCTCTCTGTGAGTGCTTTCCTTCATTGATTGTTTTTTTAAATTGCTATTTGGTTAATTTACTGTGCATTTAAAGGTGTATATTTGGGGTGTGGGGGACTGTTTTGTTTGCTACTGTGGGGATGTATGTTGGAACTTTGTGATTACGTCAGTGCCACTGAGCTGTGTGGGTGGTGATTATTCTTGTATGGGCACAGTTTGGGGGATTTCTCACTGTTCCAATAATAATCTTTTGTTCTCGTTTGCTATGGTCAGTTTTTGGAGTAGTTTGATTCTCTGTTGCCTTGCTGTAGTTTTTACAGGTTGTTTTAGGGCTCTTTTCGACTATTTGCAGAAAACAAATGGAGAAAAATGAAATGAAATAATCTGGAAAAGGTGTTTCCTTTCATGTTAAACTAAAGGACCAGTGCATGAAAAACACAAAAAATAGAAGAGGCAACCGCCTCTTTAAAAAAACCCTAAAACAAACAAACAAAAAACAACAAAAATTTGCTGTGTTTATTCCTAGTCACAGCTTAGTTTGGTAAGGCAAACAATAGTTTCACTGTACTTTGGGGGTCTTGTAAGATTAGGACAGCTGTTAAGGAAACCCACCTGCACTTAGCCAGTCACATTCTTGTGCATTCCCACCCACCCCCTTTTTACCCATTTTCTGTATGTTCAATATTTCAGTTTTGATCATCTTACCTTAAAGGGTCTTGGTATTTCTGGATATCGATAGCGATGTATCATGAGCCCTAATGTGGCAAGTCCTATGAAGAACCAGCGGGAGAAGCTATAGAAGTTCAACAGCCCATAGAGATCGCCAATGGATACCATCAAATAGATCAATGGCAACTGGATATAGAAAGAAAAATGGTGAAGCAGAAAGATGACAACACAATTTATTTCTGTTCCTTTGGGGGTCCCTCTCTGCAGCTCTTAATCAAAGTATAAAACTCTCTCCTTACATTATATAATTTAGAATTAATTTACACGACCAGTTCTAACTGATAATGCAGAGTTTTATGGAAAGACATATTGGAACAATTTCCACTTTAGTTCATTAGATGATGGAAATTTCAACCATGTGAACTTATTTGATGAAATAATGAGTTGGGTAAAATAACCACACCAATACATAACCATTTACTTCAGCAGCTGGAAGAATAGAAAAGGCCTCTATGTATATCATATGCACCATCCTATAAAACGGAAATGTCTGCCTCTCATTTTTGGATACCTTCTTCATTCTTCACTTAGGAGGAGGAGGACACATGGATGAGTTCACTCTTAAAGTGTTTACAGCTCGTACCATTAATATAAGGGCTGGGAGAGGAGTGTGTCTTTCAAGGTGTATCATTGAAAAGAGAGCTGGCCACTGTCCTTCCCGTGCAGCTGCAAATAACATCCTGCACAAGAAAGAGAAGCTTTAGGTTAGCTTTATTAGTCATATGGAATGAGTCTTATGCATTGTACTTCTCTGCATGGTAGTAGGATATTGCAAGCTTTTGTTCTGCATACAGAAAATTATTAGCTGGAATACCAGTGGTTTTTATGAAGGGGCTCTAGAACTTGTCATAGTTAACTGACAAGGACTACTTGTCTTAGTTAATTGTCATCCTCTCTAAGTGAATGTGGATGTATATACCTGTACTATGAGGGATCTTTTAATCACCAATTTGCCAGTGTTGAAAAGTGGTTCCTGTTACAGCTTCAAAAGCAATAGCTGTGACAAAATGTACATCTATGGGATGGTGTACTTGGTGTCCAAATTGACAAAATACAGATAAATACTGAGGTTTCTGGGAAGAAGGAAGATGTGCAGGAAGATGATTACTTCCGCCTTGTTTCTACTCACCGACTGATAGAATACAGGTTTTATTTTTCAGATTGGCAACTATAGATAAGACCTGAGACATACACCATCTTCAATAATTGGGGCAAGAAGTCTGAATGATTTTACCTTGAAGCAGCAAAGATTCCTCCATTCAAAGCACCAAAACATGATAGAGCTACAAGAATTGGAAGCACAGAGGAAATGCTCTTGAAAACGTTATCAGCAAAGCTCTAGAAGAGGATCAAGAAATTTTGATTAGCCATCATTTTTTCCTTCTCTCTCTCTCTCTCTCTTTCTCTCTCTAGCCATATGTTGGCAGAAGGATTTTTTTCTTCTTCAATAGTACAATGCATGTATGGGAGGCACCCAATGCAGCAAAAAAGAATAAACGTATAATGAAACATAAGCTTTTGTACTAATCAAAAGAGCAAATATAGCTAGGCAACAACACATTATGCTGAGAAGGAAAAATATTTAAAGTTAGTTTAGGAGACTCATCCATTGATTTATACAGAATGATAAAAACCATAAATTTTAACAAGGAAAGTGATATTTTAAATACACTGGTGAGGTTGATGATAAAATTGAATTTTTTAAAACATATATATATATAGGTTTCCATATATACATGGAAACCTATATACAAAAGTCTCAATTAGGAGAGAAAATCTATATATCTTATGTTGTTCATTTTTAGGAATGCCAATAAAAGGATTCTTAACCGAACCCTTGTTTTTAGAGAACTTCCTGTCTATTGCCCATGTAAACAGATGTCTGCTTTAGGCAGTAGAATTTCCAATCTGTTATTTCTCTTTCATTAAACTCAAGTTCATTCCACAAAACCCTGTAGACTCTTCCCTCCCGGCCTCGTCAAGACTGATTAAAAAATGCAAAGAGCAAGAAGGAGGCCATGCTCACCACAGCTACTGCATCAGAGTTGAGAATTTCCTGCGGGGTCAGTACTGCGTAGTATGACACATTCATCAAGATGTAACACACAGTAACAATCGTTAGGGATATGAAAACAGCCAATGGGATATTCCTGAAGAAGAAGAAGAAGGAGAAGGAGAAGGAGAAGAAGAAGAAGAAGAAGAAGAAGAAGAAGAAGAAGAAATCTTTTTCAAAGTTCACTTGTTGATGTATGTACTGTATATCTTCTTGGGTAAATGATTATTTCCTCCTTTATTAATACAGAAAGTATATATACAAGAATTAGAGTGGGGAGGTGCCCAGTAATTTTCTGTGACTGACAGTTAAGGTGTGATCTCCTCTCTTAGGTTTTCTGCACTATTAAGCTCTCTTCCAAACTGAACATGTTATGGATTTGGATTCCCATCAGCTGCAGGGAGCATGGCCAATGATTAAAAAATCCAGGGAGTCACAATACTTAACATGAGGATACCAGGCTGTGGAAAGGGCATCAGATTCTATTAATTTCTTTATAGAATTATATGTAATGTTATCAATATGCACGGCACTTTACAGCACACAAAAATAATGCAGTGCTTGTGTAATCTAAAGTTTCTTCAATAAGCTCTGCAGACTGAAAAATGGGATTAAACACTTGTCCAAACTGCCTGGCAATACCTCTCTAGTTTCAGCCAGGATTTTTTCCCCCAGTCATTGTATGGAATTGAATCTGGGACTTTTTAGTTGCAAGCATTTGTGTGACAACTGAATCACCATGCCCCACTCCTGCCAACTCCAAATGGTCCAAAGTCTGATGGGATACAACATTAGGATTCTAAAAAAGAGCAAGTGGATGATCAATGACCCAAGTAGATGAGCAAATTTAATTCCCCCACACTTACCGTTTGGGATTTATAATTTCCTCTGTTACAAAGTTTATGTAAAACCTGAAAAAAGAAATAAAGAGGTTTCCAAGTATTAGAGTACAGAACTTGCCAAGTAAAGGAAGTGTAACTTTTGTCATGTAAGAGATTAAGAAATTAATTAATTAAGAAAGAAATTGTCTGGTGGCTTCCAATGGCTTCCCAGGATGAACGAAATCCCAAAGGATCCTCAGGTCCTTTGGGATGGGAAGAAGAAGCAGAAAAGTTTTATTTCCAAAAAAGCAGCACTGCTGATGATTTTATCAGTCTTACATGGCATAAGATGCTATTGGATTTCAGCAACTGTATAGAATTGCTCCATTGTTGTGTAACCTGAAAACGTGTGAAGATCTTAAAAATCAGATTTGTATTGGGGAAGAGGACATACTGTACACTGTAGGTTTAGGAACACATTGCTTGTCTTTAATAGTCTGCAAGGTCTTTTTGGACTAGGTCTGGGGATTGAGTCTATAGGGCTAAATTGGAAATCTGAAACAAACAAACAAACCCTAAAAGATTTGGGTTCTTTTGGGTTTGGCAAAAGGGCCTTTAACTGGAAGAATCCCATAAAGAAAGAAACACCCCCCAAAAGGGGAAGAAATGCTAAAGTTTCCCTTCTTGCACATCAATAATACATACACTTTTTGTTAAGTACAGTAAATGCAAAGGGAAAATCCATAGTGTTGAGACTTACCATCCCCCATAAGCAAACATGCCAGAGTAAAAAGCAAGGGGCAGCTTGTCAAGTGTCAGCAAATCTATGTCAAAACTATTTTGGAAATTTTCAAAATGACCTGATCCAAAGAGAAATAACATATTGTTGGTTTTGACAACAGAAGAGCCAAAGATGTGTCTAGTAAGGAACCTGTAGATTGTAGACTACAGCTACCATCACCCTTGGCTATTGGTCTTGCTGACTGTATTTGATAGAAGCTGGAGTCAACATCTGGAGGGCCATCACTCAGCTAGCCCAGCATATTTCTCCCCCACAGCTAATCTGCCAGTTGCTTCCCCCAAGCTGGCCAGTAAGAAAACTGAGATATTGCCAGTGCTTGTTTACTGTGATGAAGATTTTGTGCCCTTGAGGAATTGTAAGGGTTGTCCTCTGTATGGCAGGGCACATGGCCATCCTATGCAGATTCTATCTGGAATCTCTCTCCCTTAATAATAATCAGGTGCCTTCAAGTCAATTCTAACTTCTGGCAACTCTTTTCAGAGTTTTCCAGGTAGAGAATACAGTGGTGGCTCGCATTACGACGTTAATTTGTTCCAGTGAAATCGCTGTAAAACGAAAACGTAATGCGAAAATAAAAACACCATTGGAACGCATTAAACCCGTTTAATGCGTTCCAATGGGCTGGAAACTCACAGTCCAGCGAAGATCCTCCACAGGGCGGCCATTTTCGGTGCCTGTGCAGCGAGGAATCCGTTCCAGAAAACAGCGAGGAGCCATTTTATTTACCTGCCAGCAATTTTGAAACCGCCGATCAGCTGGAGGAAAATCATCGTTTTGCGAAGAATTGGGTCCCGAATCAGGGAACCGATCATCGCAAAGCGAAAAAACCCCATTCAGACCATCATTTTGCGATCGCAAAAAGGTCATTGTAATTCAGTTTCATTGTAATGTGAGGCACCACTGTACTCAGAAGTGGTTTACCAGTCCCGTCTTCTGGAGGTGCCCGGGGACTGTGCAGCTTGCCCAAGGTCATGCAGGCTGGCTCTGCCGACAGGAGGCACAGTGGGGAATTGAACTCCCAACCTTTGGCTCCACGAGGTCTAAACCACTGAGTGATCCCTTAGCCCTCTTTTATCTTCCCTTTTTCCTCCTCTGCTTATCTCTTCTCTTCCTTTTCTTCCCTCTCCTTCCAACTGCTTGTTCCCCTTCTTTCTAAAGCTGCGTTCCCAACTCATTTCAGATGAAAGTTTTGACTGGTCTTACCATTGCCAAGAGCCATCATCCCGGGAATGATAATTAGGCCAACTGTGACCAGTTTGAGAGCAGTGAGAACCGTTTGTATGTTGGCTGACCAGCTAACACTCCAGCAGTTCAAAGCAATTACGAGGGCTTATAAAAGAATAGGGAGAAAATAAAGTACAGTAAAATACTGGAACTGTATCTGTGAAAGGGTTTCTTATTGTTTCATTTATGCTCTTGGAAAACGAGACCAGTGATTACTCTTTTTTTGAACATTGTTTTGGTAATATTGACACTCAAAATTAGAATTACATACTTTTAGTGTCACAGCAAATATCAGGAAATAAATCAAATAGATCACTGAAATTTGGGGGGGGGGGCAGAGTATCAGCATAGGAGGCAGAAATGTCCTGGATATTTGAACTCGTTCGAAGTAATAAGGTATTCCTTGACTTCTGTGTATCAATCAGTACATTTATTATTATTTATTTATTCAAAATATTTTTACCCCAACTTTCTTGTAAAAAAGGTGGCTTACATCATGAAAAAGAAACAATATTAAAAGCTAAAAACAATACATTATTAGAACATTTTGAAAAATTAGACAAATACATTAAAAATAATGGGCAAGACCACGACTAAAAGCATTTTCAAAAGCAAGAAAATGTGTGAAAAATCCTATTAAAAATATCCTCCTAGACAGCCAGTCACTAAGGGAAGGCTTGCATGAAGACAAAGGTCTTTGCCTGCTTATAGAAGGATAGTAAAAGCAAGAAAATGTGTGAAAAATCCTATTGAAAATATCTTCCTAGACAGCCAGTCACTAAGGGAAGGCCCGCGTGAAGACAAAAGGTCTTTGCCTGCTTATAGAAGGACAGTAATATGAGGCCAACTTGGCCTCTGCCAAGGTTATTTTATAGTTACAGATTTTTTTAAATGGTTATACCAGATGGGAGACAGGGGAGTGACTTCAGTGGGAACTAATCTTAACTAAGATCAGCCCCAGATTCCTAGTATACCATATTTTTTCTGTGTATAAGATGATACTTTTTTCTAAAATAGAGTAAAAATTGGGGGTCATCTTATACACGGAAGTAGAGGGGGATCAAAGGGCTGCATGATCGCAGCCCTTTGATCCTGCAGCCCTTTCATGGCTGCAGCAGTGATGTAATGGCTGCACGATCACAACCCTTTGATCGTGCAGCCCTTTCGTGGCTGCTTTACCTGAAGTAGGAACGAAGTAGATTACCCACATTTTTCTTAATAGGGGTTGGAAAAATGGGAGTTGTCTTATACATCAGGTCGTCTTATACATGGAAAAATATGGTAAGTTGATACTCACTGATTCCTGTTGTCGTGATCAACTTCACAGCCAAGATTGGGACGTGGCATGGAGTAAAGAAAGGCTCAATTAGATATCGTCCAAATGCCAAAGACACAACGGCCATATTTGCAGGACTGCAATACAAAACCCACAAACTGCAGGTTATCAGAATGATTTTCCCCACCTCTTTCCCACCATTTCTTATTACCTCTCTTTTATATTTTCTCTCCATGCCTATTCAAGTCCTTTGAAGTAATCATCAATGAACAGAGCAAGGAAAATCTTCCAAAGAATGATCTGAAGGAGTGGGAATGAGGTGTGACAAGTCTTAGGATCACTCTCTGCCCTTCAGCTTATGCAAAGGTTTCTAGTTTTCATTTTAATTTCCGGCAAAGGTTACCAGTGGTCCTGGTGTGACAAAATACAATTTGTATAAACAGGAATGGCAAGGAAACTGTAGCTTGGGATCTCGGTTTTAGCATTTAAACCATAGTTTACCATTTTCAAATAAAACTGGTTTGTTGCAAACTAGAATCTCCTTCCCTTGCTCACAGCATGAAGATTAGGAGGGAACATGTGAACTGGAGCTTTCTCTTGCTTGCTTCTGTTCCTCATAAAACATGATTTCGGGACTTGAATGTTGCCACTCCATTAGCTCTCAAGGCTAGTATAAGGTCAATAGAATGAACTCCTGTTTTCTGCTGTTATGTTTTTGGTAGTGGCCTACTATACATAGACTAAACTCCTGTTGCCATAACTTATGCTGTGTAAGGCTGATGATGTCATCAGGAGTCGTGATTTTTCAGGAATGTCAGCCATGTCACCAAAAGGAAAACCTCCCTTGTCACTGGCACCATCAAGTAATACAAAAAGAAAGAGCTAGTGGATACCATCTCTCCTCCCCTGCCTCCATATTTCATAACAAGAACTGACTGGGGGATTCTGGGAGTCATAGTTGAAAAAAGAGTAGTCTTTCCAAACTCCAGCATTCAGGATATTATGAAAGAAACAAAATGATAGCTAGACTGTGAAAGATGTACTCTGACACTGCTGGTGCAAACCTGCTGTTGGTCCTGGAAAACAAAAATAAAAGGAGTCCTATTGTGTGTGGACGTGGTGGCGCTGTGGGTTAAACCGCAGAAGCCTCTGTGCTGCAGGGTCAGAAGACCAGCAGTCGTAAGATTGAATCCACGCAACGGAGTGAGCTCCCATTGCTTGTCCAAGCTCCTGCCAACCTAGCAGTTCAAAAGCATGTAAAAATGCAAGTAGATAAATAGGTACCACCTCGGTGGGAAGATAACAGCATTTCGTGCCTAAGTCACACTGGCCACGTGACAACAGAAATTGTCTTCGGACAAACGCTAGCTCCATGGCTTGGAAAAAGGGTTGAGCACTGCCCCCTAGAGTCAGACACGACTGGACAAAAATTGTACAGGGAAACCTTTACCTATTGTGCGTGGAGGGTTTACACTGCCCCCTAGAGTCAGACACGAATGGAGAAAAATTGTACAGGGAAACCTTTACCTTTACCTACTGTGCGTGGAGGGTTTCGTTTCCTTGCCTTCAATGCAGACAAAATTCAAGTTAGCTCTACTTATTACAAAAATGCACTTCTTGTTAGAGCAGAAGATATACTATGTGGCAAGATGCCATGAAAAGCAACTGCACTAGACATATATACCTAACTCTCTAGAACAGGGGTCTCCAAAGTACGGACTATGGGCCACATCCTGCCTGCCTGACCTTTTTATCCAGCCCGTCCATATGTGTGGGTGTGGGTGTGCGCACACACATACTTGGGAAAGATTGTATCCAGGTGTGTGGGTGGGAGTGTGTGCGTGCATGCGTGCGTGTGGGTCAGTGGGTGAGAGTGTGTGTGCGTGTTGATGGGAGTGAGTGCATTTGTGTGGGAATGCATGTGGCTGGGTGGGGAGTGTGGGCAGGCAGGTGGGTGTGAGTTCATGTGCGTGCATACATTCCTTTGTCCCTCAAAAATATATTATGTGGCCCTCTGTGTGAAAAGTTTGGAGACCCCCTGCTCTAGAATATGTTTCCCCCACACATTTTGCTATTTTTTTCCTTCACTGTACAAACACTTTATGCCACTTATATGATAAGCATATCTGTGTCATTCCACTTTCTGAAAGGCCAGTCCAAGACATCGGCTGAAACCCAGTTGCTTAGCACAGTACATTGCACAAGTGGAGACCCATTGAGCAGTGGGGAATTTGGTGAGCCAACTCCTCTGTAAGTTCCATTGATTCGAATGGAACATACAGAGGAATTGACTTACTAAATCCCTACTGATTCAATAGGCCTAATCTAGATCAACTTATTATGGCATGCAACAGGATTTCAGCCATTATGCTGCCTCGCTTAGACCAACAAAGGATATCTCCCACTCATTTGAGGGAACCTAGACACCAAAAATACCACTTAAATGGTTTCTGCAACTGAGCAGAAAGTCCCTTGAGTATTCTTAGCAGTAAACATGCAATGATAGCAAATTAAATAACTACTTGTTTCCCTTTTGCAATATCCCCAGTCTGTTGCATGAGGTGGCTGTCTATATCTAATCAAAAGACCACTCCTGATTTTCTGTTCTTCAAACTCTGCATTTTTGTAACAAAACTCAAAACAAACAGAGAGAGAGAGAGAGAGAGAGAGAGAGAGAATAGTGTTTGCAATGAAATAGGGCAGTAGGCTCCAAGTATTCTCCAGAGCAAGCTGTGTGTCAGTATTGTGGACAAGAAGCTACAGTTAGGTCAGAATATAGGCAGACAAGATGGTTTCCTATAGGCAAAGGGATCAAACAAAGATAGATTTTATTAACATACCTGTTCAATATATACGCAAAACAATACCATACAGAAGTCCAGATTATATTCGGATGAAGGAGGAGTGGAAACTGGTGAAAGAAACATTGATAATTTGACATCTACAGATGGCACTATCTTATTGGCTGAAAGGAACAATGACTTGAAAAAGCTCTCAGTGAAAGTGAAAGAAGAAACTGCCAAAGCAGGACTGCGGTTGAACATTCAGAAAACAAAAAAACTGACTACAGAATAACACAATAATGTCAACAATGAAGAAATTGAAAGATATTGTATATCTTGGTTCAGTCATCAATCCAAATGAACATTGTAACCAAGAAATCAGAAGAAGACTGGGACGAGGAAGGGCAGCAATGAAGGAAATAGAAAAAATGAAGTACAGTCGTGCCCCGCTTCACGACGATGTTTTTGTGATCACAATTGTGATCGTAAAACGATGTTTTAAATTGGTTTTTTTCACTTTGCGAAGATCGGTTCCCTGCTTCTTGTATTCCCAATCACAATTTATGGGTGAGAAAGCTGGGCAGTAAGGAAAGCTGACCGAAAATAAAATTGATTCATTTGAAACATTGTGTTGGAGGAGATATTTGTGGTTATCCCGGACTGCCAGAAAGATGAGCAAGTGGTTCCTAGATCAAATCAAGCCTGAGCTATCTCCGCAGGCAGAAATGATGAAAGTGAAGCTGTCCTACTTTGGGCACACCATAAGAAAGCAAGATTCTCTGGAATAGACAATAATGCTGGGAAAGGTTGAAGGCAGCAGGAAGAGAGGAAGACCAAATCTGACATGGATTGAATCCCTAAAGGAAGCCACAAGCTTGAGTCTGCAATAGCTGAGCAGGGCAGCTGAGGACAGGACATGTTGGAAATTGTTCATTCATAGGATCAGCACACATCAGAGGCAACTTGACAGCACAGAAGCCAGTTGGCATCAAGGGTTCCCTTGAACAAGCTGTATGTTCACTTACACTCTCTCTCTCTCTCTCTCTCTCTCTCTCTCTCTCTCTCTCTCTCTTCAAGCTAGGCAGCTCCCAGATGTTTAGTGGCAGACGGCTCTGTTTATCTAGTAGCTCTTTGGCTTGGTGGGGGAAGAGCAGATCATATATCAACCTGGTTTCTATAGAACCTCAAGCCTTTTGTTATAGTAGTTGTCATTGTCACAAAAACTACAGTGATATTTGCATATTAGTGAAAACATTTCTGTGCCTGGAGAAGATTGTCTGTGGTTTGAGATTATTTTTTATGTTTCCATTTTCCATATTTGGGTTCTCTCCTTTCTTAATCTTCTATCCATTCATTCTCCCCCCACTGCTCCATGTCTTTCTCAGATGTCTTTTCTCCCTTTCCCCCTCCCAACATTTGTTAGATCTCCTTGTTAGATCTCCGTGGTGCTGCATTCACCAGCTGGCTGCTTCTAAAAACACAGCTGGAACATGCCCACAATGGCACAGTTGAAAGAGACAAAGCTCCCAATCAAACCCCTCTATAGTCTGGAATTCCTCCTTCCCCCCTTTTTTTCACAGGAATGGAAAGTAAATCTTCTCTTACCGGATCATAATGAATTCAGCCCATAATCTCAAGAAGGCTGGCAATGGCCCAAGAGTCTCTAGAAGGTAAATGTAATGTCCTCCTGATTTTGTGATGGTTGTACCCAAGTCTGCATACGACAGAGCACCTAGAAAGCAAACAAGAAGGCAGCCACCTTTTACCCACTCACCTGCAAGTAAGCCCCTTTGAATTCAATATATGTACAGGAAGGCACCCTTAAAGTCCTTGCACAAATCATTCTAATTTGCATCCAATGCTTGGAAAAGGTTTAGTTTGTTTGGTTTTTTTAATTACAGCTCTCAGACTCCTACACTGGACACGTTGGCTAAGATTCTGGGATTTATAATTCGGGGGGGAAAAATTAACATTGATCTTGAACCTGTGTTAGATGTCTTCCTGTCCAGACTGAACATCTGGTGATTTCAGGGGGCAATTGTATGGGGAACCGTTGAGGTGTCACTGGAGAAAAATTATTCTTCTGCTACCCTCAATAAATTTTCCCCGTTATTTAGTGTAAAGGTCAATGAACCAAGGCGACAGGAAGCTACTGTGCAGAACCATCCAAGGACTGTAACTGAACTAAAGCAAGAGGCACATGTAACCACATGTTCCAGTGATGCGCATTCTTTCATTCCAGCACATCTGTTCTTCATGTGGTGCCCTGACTGCGTGTCCCAAAGTGATCTCCTGATGATTTCCATGGCAATTGCTACACATTCTGAACTCCCAGCGGAGAATGTTTTGAGGGACCCATTCCTCAAAGCTCCCACACGGACATACATTCCTAAGTCCATAATTCGCCTGCTCTCTGTGAACTATATCTTTTTTTTGGGGGGGGTAGGGGATGCTCTACTTATCTTCATCCTCTTGTAAGAACCTTGGTCTGAAAAGAAGAGGAGAAAAACGCCACAAGAAATTAGAAAAGAAGCCCATCCACTCACCAAACAGAGACAGGATCCCACAGGCCAACCACACGAGCAATGAGGTCCCGACAGTGCCTGAGTTTTTCAGCACTGCTTTGGGGGATATGAAGATGCCACTCCCCACCATTGTGCCCACAGCCAGGGCGATGGCCCGGACGAGGGTGATCTTCCTCCTTAGGAAAACGGCTTCCTTCCCCTCAGTTGGAGGTTTCTCCTTCCTGCAGGTCACCATTTCTTTTACACAGCGGTTTCACTGATTCACAGAAAGTTTCTGCGTCACAACCACACAGCTTTCTTTTTTTGACCTCTTGGATAGAAGTTTTGCTCTACTTTCTCTCTCTCTTCTCTCTCTGTCTCTTTGCTCAGCAGGCAGAGTACGATTTGGCTGGGAAACCCTGGACATAACAGACACATGAAGCAAACAAATATTTAAACAAAAATATCAGGTGGGAGGGGAAGTGGGGTCCAAAATCCCATAGCAAGTGGAGGCTTCTGTCATAGACACTGGTGTGAAGTGGGAACACTTCCAGCTGCCTGTTTTGCATACCAAGAACATGGTCTAGTTGTATGTACTTCTCTTGACTTTGTTTGTAGTTTAAGTCAAGTTACTCTTCCTTCCTTCCTTCCTTCCTTCCTTCCTTCTTTGAGCCCGTTACCTCAACTCATCAGGATCAAACTCAGATTGTGAGCAGAAGCTTCATTGCAGTGCTGAAGTTTTACCACTGCACCATGGGACTATAAAATGGAACTGCTGTGGTAATTGTGAGCAACAATGGAGATATGTTTAAAAATGAATCTTGGACAAGCAGAATTACAAATAAACTGTACTTGCTATTATGAAAAAGAAAATGTAGCTTGTTAACTACATTCATATGAGATACCATGAAGATACTCCCATTCTGCACTGTCTGTGATAGCTTGTATTTCGTATTCCTTCTATTTCCTTCCCCCACCAGCATTCCCTGCCAGTGATTTAGTCATATTAAACCCCATTCTAAAATACAGTACACTCAATAATTTGCAGTTTTCACATTAATTCACCACTAAAACTATATTTTTGTCCTTTTAATAAATCACATTGGTTAAATCCACCATCTCCAATACATTTACTGTCCCACATGTACCAAGTTTTAACTCTGATACATATGAAGATTAAACAATTATATG